GGTGTTTAGTCGAGAAGGGGTTCCAATGGTATTAGTGACTGATAACGGCTCTCATTTTGCTGCAGATGCAGTTACTACCTGGTTAAATGGTATAGGGTGCAAACATCTGTTTACTGCTCCCAAACATCCTTGTTCTGATGGTCAGGCAGAAAATTTTGTCAGGACGTTGAAAACTGCTATTGATTCTATTGCCGCCTCAACATTTAATGAGCTGAAGAGGGGAGTAGATACCTTTCTACTGCAATATAGAAATGCCAGACATTCAGTGACAAAAGAGACTCCATCAAAACTATTAAAAGGAAGAATTCTTCGGTCGAATATGAGATGTTTGGAGTCTGCAGAAGTTACATAATATCGTGGCAAATGATCTTCTACCATCCACGGGGATTGTTCTGAAGAATGTTGGGAAATCTATGGTGCGACTTCTAGATATCAATGACTTAAGTACACACAATCGACATGTTGATCAAATACAATTCCAGGAACCAGGTGAGTCTGTTCCAATTTCGGTTGTTAATTCTAATACTAATGAGAGCATTCTAGATAATACACAGTTTTTATCCAATACACTATCGGACAGACACAGGATGAATTTGAGAAGAAGACGTACAATTGATTACAGACACTTGGAATCCAATTTAAGCTGTGGCGAATGTGGTGTTTGAATGAACTTGTGACTTCTTGGTTGTTGTTGAATGCTTGTTTTCGAATTCTAATTACTGTACATTCGTTTGTGCTCATCTCGTAGTTCTTGATACTTAAATACAAATAGTTCTAATTATCATAGTCTCTTCTTTCCACTTGGTTCGCAAAATCGATGTCGTTAGTTGGATGAGATTACGTCCAACAACTAATCCTATGAGTACTTACGAGCACTGCCTCCAGTATCAGCTCGCATATAGTATAGAGAGGTCGCTCTTCCTCGAGAGTTAATTATCTTTCTATATGTTTTCGTACTAGTAGATTCGGTACGCAAACATTTGCAACAGCTTTAAAAAGAACCTCTCACGGATCTCTCTTCACGAAAAGATCTTCAAGGATGATTGACCTGGTCAGCATTGATCATCTCTAACCACCATATGTCCATAAAAATGCCTCATCCTATAAATCAAGACTGAATGCTAGGCCCGTCCAATTCACTAGCGCCATCCCTATTTCTCCTTCGGATCACATGCCTCATACATCGGGGACCTCATTCTCACGTCCCGGTCAACAGCACGCGTCATGTGCGCCATCTATGGATGAGACACCTGTCTCATGTCCAGATCAGAAGACCACACCGCCCTTGACTTCGGATGAGACTGCAGTCTCAAGCTCTCAGAAACGAGGTACGAATGAGACTACTGTATTACGCTGCGGTCTCCAGGTAAGTCTATCTGAACCTCAGTAAGCAACGTATAGGTTTTCGGATTATACTCCTTCCTACATACTTGACAAGTTTTTTCTTTTTCTTTGACATTTTTATATTGAGCCTACGCCTCCGACCATCGCCCTGTCGGTAACATCGACTTCAGTCAATCTTGGTGAAAGCTGGTCTGATCACTCACGCTCTTGTGAATGCACTCAGTCGATTTTTGGTTCCAAATATGTCTGGCGTACACATAGTCTCGGAATTGGTCGTTATGGTCGCTTCTGGTTTCTTGGCTCATTATGATTCCGTCCACTGTCAGTAGCGTTTTCTGGTCTGAACCCTACGAATGCAAGCTTCAGATTGTGGATAAAAGCCATTTTGGTGTAGCACGCCAACCCCAGCAGCAAACATGGCACGTTACTCCTGGTACCGTTCTCCATAAAAGACCTTCGGTGACGACTCGAGCATCATAGATCGCTTCCTGTCCGTCAACCCTCCCGTCCTACGATCGACGTTTTACCGATCAGTCCCATGAACGAAGCCGCAAAGCATCGAAAGTATAAACCGTTTTTAGCCTGGGGTCGGTGTAGTGAACCCAAGTTTATGAAGAGAACGCGGTTGGTTTAGTTGAAACATTCATTATTATAACCCACTGTACCAGTAATTGTCTTACTTAACCCCACTTTTTATAACTATCCGTACGCGCAAACCCTCCGTTTGTGTCGCTGCCATTTTGACTCCTCATTTTCTGTAATTTCACCCCTCTTTTCTGACACAATTTCGGTATTTTTTCGATACCACGAAATCGCCAGCAGATATGTTCGCTCACATGGATTTACTTATCTTTTCTGTGATAGGTTAATAATTGTTTTATAGTGGTGATCTCAGTCAACTGCGACTCGCGCCACTAAAAGCTTTACTGGATTGAATGTAAGGGCCTGACAGCTGCTAAACGCTGGCAAATGTAGTATTAAAAGAAATTAGCTATACGGGCCGGATATAGATTTGTCTAACAGTTTATTATCATTAGATTGTCAGATTAGATTGTCAAACTAAATGTCAATAAACCCAAATCTATTTGGAGGAACAACAGGTCTTTGTCCAACTATTTCTAGTTTATTTAAAATGTTCGTATCTGCTGTAGTTGAAGATGCCTTTGTAACACAGTAATAACACAGTAGGATAAAGATCTACCGTTCTGAACGTTCACCGAAAAGATAGAACTTAAGGTCACAAGCTAAATTTTGTGGGCTTTGGTGCGATTCTATCCTTCTGAAGGAAATGAGGAAACTTCGTTTTCTAATACACAGTTCGAAAATGTTCCTCTTCATAATAAATCGGAACTTTCACTCTCACTTTCTTCATCTCATTACATCTCACTGATCTCCCGACCTTAAGTGTTGAATTAGTACCACATAAACATACCACTTCGCGGGATAACAAATTTTATTCCGTTAATCTTGAAATCAGTGAACAGTCGATTCTAGATGAAGAAATATATTTATTGATAGCCTCGTGATATCGAAATAATCACGAGACTAGGGTACACGAGTGACTGACGATCTGGCAGGAGACGCGCGGAAGAACAGAAAGCGAATAACAAGCTTGGAGCACGAGAGATAGTCTTTTGTACAGATAAACAAAAGGTTTACAATATAACAATTATTGTTAGAATTAAGTACAATAATAAATGTTTGTATATCAGCAATTGTGTTTTCTTCGTAAAAGTAAGCCATTACATTAGCCCCCCCGCTAATAGGGGTTCACACTTTCGATACGTGGCTGTTTCTTGCGGAGAGGGTGTTACGGGAGAAATGAAGACATTTTGCTGATCGAAACCTTTGTATAAATATCATTAATTTCACTGTGTTTTTTGGGTATATTTGTCTTACTTAACTTATGAACTTGTTTGAATTATTATTTTCGGCCATTTTGGACTCCTGTTTGTCTTGGTTGTTCGTTTGCAGTTTTTTGCTCCAAGAACCTATAAAATAGAAGAACGACATTGGTCGTCTATTTGTAATAAACCAAGGATATTTTGGTCGATTATTTGTAAATTGGCAATAAACTTTGGTATCTACTTTGGAGTTTCCTTTTGGTTTAATCCTTGGGATCGTGAATTGCAAATAGATCGACATACAGTGCTTCTAAAGATTAAAGAGCAAAAAATTGGACGTAACAGAGGGCTTGGTCAACTAATGGGCGATCGTAGGGCGGAAGGGTTGACAGACAGGAAGCGACCAATGAGGCTCGAGGTGTCGTCGATATTCTTTTACGCTGAACTGTACCAATAGTAATGTGCCAAGTTTAGTGCTCGGATCAGCATATCACACCAGCGTGGCTCGTATCCAGAGTCCGAAGATCGCGTTACTATGGCTTTGGACCAGAAAAAGCCGCAGACGTAGGACGGAATCAGACTGAGCGCGGAAGCGAAAAACTACCAGAACGACCAAGTTCGAGACCATACGTATACAAGAACATTCGAAACCAAAACATCGGCTGAGTCCACTGACAAGAGCGTGTGTGATCAGGCCAGCTTTCACCGAAATTGACTGAAGTCGACGGTACCAACAGGGCGATAATCATAGACATGGGCTCAGGATAAAAAATGAAAGAAAAGGAGAAAAGTGTAGCAAACATGTAGTACGAGGATATCGTACTATCACTTATCCGTTGTTGCCTCGGTTGTTGCTCAGTGGTGTGAAAAACTCCTCAGGCAGGCGTAATGTCGTGCCGAATACCAGTTCAGCGGCGGAACATTGAATATCTGCCTTTAAGCTCGTTCTGACACCTGGGAGAACGAGAGATAGGGTTTCGTACTAATTGTTGTTTTCGTGTGCTCGAAGAGCCTTTTCAAGTTTGGCGATGAAACCGTTCAGCTAAACCATTCGAACCTGGGTGGTAGGCCGTAGTGCATATGCGCTCCGTACCATGTAGCCGAGTTAGCAAGGATAATTCGGACTCGAACTGTTGTCCCTGGTCAGTTGTGACAGTCGAGGAGCAACCATAATGCGCTATCTATCGTTCTACGAAGTGGTGAGCAACTGTTTCCGCCGTGATAGAAGTGATGGGAATAGCTTTCGGGCCATCTTTAAAACGATCGATGCATGTGAGTATGTGATCATACCCATGCGATGGTGGCAATGGTACGACAATATCTATATGAACATGATCTAAGCGAGCTTCGGGCATAACACAATGTGCTGATAGGGAAAGCTACGTGAGTGTGCACTTTTGCTCGTGGACTTTGTAAGCATTGCATATACCACTACAGTGTGATGGATACTGGTTTCCAAAATCCCCCAAATCCCCACGCACTCACCCAAATCACAAGACATACAAATTCACAAACAACTTCCTACTGACTAGAATCGATGAAATGGAGTGGCTAGACTATCATCCTATGTACATCAAAAAATACTTGGATTCGTACCGAAAGAACAGAAATCGAGCGCAAAACCATCAACTGGTTTAAACTGGTTCGCGAAAATGATATTTTATTTCCTTCAAGAGGCTTACTCCATAAACCAGTATTTTTATAGCGAATGCTCCAGTTATTTATGGCTTATATCTGGAAAATTAAAATTTACATTGACAATATACATGAAAACGTTTTAGGAGACTGTTCCTAGCACATTTAAACGTGCGCCTCCCCCCGCCAATCATGAACGTGAGGCGTACGGTGCTTTCGTCCTTGACCAAGCATGTTGATCATATTCGAAATGTTTGCATTCTTGCACATGTTGACCATGGTGAGTCCATTTATAAAACTGTAGTTATTATGATAGAAGTGGTTTGGAGTTTTTTCCGTATAGTGATTTTTAGTCTGTATGATATGGTTATAAAGATCTACTTTCAACCTTTTTTGCTCCTAAGATATTTGGTTTAAATACTATCTGATTTACACTCATTTTATCTTCATGCAAATTAGGATTGCTGCCATGTTATCAAACTTGATCCCTTCGTGTCGATCCATTGAAAATGTCACTTCAATTACATTAGTTTTGTCCTAAAAGACATGCCAGTTTCAGTGCCATCACATTTTAGTACTACAGTTAACAGTTGGAGTTAAATGCAAGTCTAAACACAGATTGATGATTAAATAGGTGAGCGTTTGCCTATTTTGGATAGTTTGGGGACTTGTTTTCCTCAAGACCATTGCTTGCCACGATAATGCAACAAAGGGGAAATGAGGGCCTAACGTCTATTTTTGCACCTTAAGTATACTACTTAGACATAAAGCAGACAATTTTGTGTTAAATTTATCGAAAGTTAGATCATTAGACTGACATGAATGTGCAAAGTTATAGGCATTTTCCTCTTGTGAAACAGGCGAAATATTATTTACCCGACCCAGGCACAAGAAACTACATTTTGATGTAATTTTGCCTAAAGTCATACCAAATTTTCTTCGCCAATATCGCTTGTGTTTCCCGATTCTTGTTTAATCGGGCCTCCCAACTTTTTACTGCCATAAGTCTGTACTAGAGCTTAGATGCTTCTGGAGTCTTTTGTCATAGTTTCGGTTAGTAAATCATAGTTTGGAAATAAATTCTACTCCTCGAAGCTGTTATTTTCGAAAAAATGTCGTCCATATATATCTTAATACTGTCTTTCGTAGAACTTAACACTACTGACTACAATTTCAAAAACCGCGCTAAACATACCGCTTTACAAATTCGAAATCACGGTACTTCAAAGCATATGAATGGTGATCCACTAATAAGTAATGTTGACTGCCCCATTATCTTCGAATGCATTATACTAAATGTCACTAATTCTTACAGTCACTTACTTGATATATCAAAAACCACAAGTTTAAAGCGCATGAAATACTTAAATTATGTTCCTTACCACCTAGCCACTTGAAATAATCTAATTTCTTTTTCTTACGGAGAGACCTGGAGTTTGTTAGTTCATGGAAAGTTACTTTTTTGTTACAATTTTTTTAGAATAAAAACTGCTGGGTTACTCTTATAGACAGTTATTCAAATCCCCCGAATACCTACATCTACGAGATACTAGCTTGCTAAAAGTGCAGTCAGTTAGCTACAGCGTAGAACGCAGTACGTACGTACATCACCTCGGGTTTCCAAACCACAGCACATGGAATTTTCACTTCAAATCCCATAGTAGTAGAGGTCGTAGCATTAACACCGGTAAACCGAACGATTAGGGGTCGAAGCTATCATTCGAGATCTATGTCTCAATGAAATAAATTTAAAAAGGGAAAGGTCATGAGGACTTCAAAGAATGGATGCATCTGCGCCATTGCGAAAGATTTTGAGCCATGTCATTCAAAGCCTAACCATTGGTCACTTGTCTCGCTGACACCAACCAGGTAGTCGACACCTACTAGCACGTCTCAGTCCACTTGTCAGTGACTTCGTGGATTTGTGTCATGTTTTGGTCTGGCCGCCCCTAGCCTTCTTCCATCTTATCTCTACGTCATACAGCATTGCTAGTCCGGGTAATCGGTGGTCAGGCATACGTAAAACATGTCCGGACCACCTCAACTGATAAATATTCACCACTTCATCGACTGATTTACCGTCTTTACCTAGTACCCTTTTCCTAACCCTAACATTGCTTACTCGATTGTCTCAGGACATCGACAATCGAGTACTAATAACCTACGAATGTCTGGTATCAGTGGCCATTTTCATTTCGTATGGTAGGGCGGATCAAACTGCTGAGCAATAAACTTATTGTTCGGTTAGTAGACAGATATCTTACCCAAGCCATAAGTGATGCAAGCCAACCGAGCCTTCTGTATCCCTGCTAAAATGCATATTTTACTGTCTTGAAACTATGATTAACATTTTGTTGTGGAGTATTGGGTTACCCGTTTAAAATCAAGACTCCCTAATCACCTTGACGTTTTTATTCTTTGCCAGTTTTTTGGGATCGTCCATGGTACGTAAATTTCTATTGGCAGTATTTACATAGAAAGGGTCGTAAATGTACTAATGTATAAAGGCATTTTGTCAAGGATGCATGGCTCTACTCCCAGTCGTACTATGGCGTTCTTAATGCTGCGAAAACCCGCTATATATGTTTTCATTACCGTTGTGGTAAACTACTGTAATATTCTATTTGCATCTGTATGTGTACAGTCTTTAATTTCCAGGGCTTTTGCAGTATCTATCGCTTTCTGTTCGAATTTATGTTACTACACTTTTGTTTTTGACGTTTGTGATTGGTACATCTTTTATTGACTTGAATAGGTTACAGATCTAAAACTCCTCTCCGCCCCAGGTTTGAGAAATCGGTAACTTTTTATCAAGGTTTATTATTTCGGTTTTTTGTATTGACAGGTAAAACTACAATGGCTGATGCCTTGTTGGCTACCAATGGTATTGTTTCTTCGCGTCAATCAGGGAAATTGCGGTATATGGATAACACTGAGGGGGAGCAAGAGCGTGGCATAACAATGAAATCTAGTGTAATCGGTCTCATTTTCAACCGGAAAGTCTCTACTGTAGATAAAAACAGTCAAGATTATTATCTTGTAAATTTAGTGGACTCTCCTGGTCATGTTGACTTTTCTTCGGAAGTTTCAACAGCAGTTCGATTATGTGATGCTGCAATTATCGTTGTTGATGTTGTTGAAGGAGTATGTCCTCAGGTAAATTGTTTAAGTGTAAGATGAATTCTCTTATAGACACGTACAGTACTTCGTCAAGCTTGGGATGAAAGACTTACTCTGTTACTGGCTTTGAATAAAATTGATCGATTGGTTGTAGAAGTAAAATTGACTCCGTCACAGGCTTATGAAACCATGTGTCGAGTAATAGAACAAGTTAACTCTGTCCTTGCAGAAATGTTTTCTGCAGATATGACACGCCGAAGAGATGGTATGTGGCAAATGAATATTGACAAACATGTAAGTACTTATCTCTTGTGTATATGTATTAATTTTGAAGTGTCAGATGAAACTTCATTAAAGCAAACAGTGTAAGTGTTTCGGTCCATGTTCAATAAGTGGTCTATTAGTTGGATTTATTTCGCACTGACTACTGTTTACTCCTTCCATGTCGAAGTTTATGTGTAGGATATCGTGTAAGTGGAAAGTCATATGGCTATCGCTTTATTGGTCACATCGAATCATAATAACTATTTACTGCGTTGTTATTCTGAAATATGCAAGCATATTGTGAGATTCAGTAGAGTTAGAACAAAATACATCACGATAACCTACTTTCTAACAGTAAATCGAGATATTACATAGTTTTATCTATCAACAATCTATTGGTCTATTACAACTGCTAGGTTCATTCACTAAATTCATGCAATTTATTGCTTTACGGCATCAAATGTAACCCAGACATATTAGTCTCACTATCGTTCTTATTATTTCAGATGTATTTGGGGTAGAATACTCATCTTATATCGGTCTCTTCGTCATAATATCCCACATGATCTGTTTCCCTACAGTTTATTTTATGCAACATTCCCTAGAAACATTATTCACAGAATTTCTGTTTTAAACTAAGTATATAGGTTGTTTTCGTCATTAAGTGATCTCAGTTGTAGTACCATTGAAAGTCAAAGAGTATCAGTCCAATTAAACTAAGTAATTTGTAGTTCAAATGTTATTTTAGCATTTTTGAAACTCTTCAACAGCGTCTACCTGTCTACTTTCATGTGTAATTTATGTTGATGATTCCTTAACCGCAAATGAATACACAACACATTTATAGACATTATGAGCGTCATTCCTTTTCTGTTCTAATGATAAATTGTAGTCTCTACTATCAACTAAATGCTATTCATTAAGAAAATGCATCAGATAACATCATGAGCTGACTGACAATATGTATTATGCGCGCTCGATTTAGGAACCCTAGGTGCAATATTTAGCGAGCCATAAGTGCGTATTGTAGGGGATTTTCAGAATGCTATGCAAAAGCGTTAGTGAGACATAGATTGGATTAAAACATGATTGCTTTGTTGCACGCTAATTGGATACGAACATTCTAGAATCTCCTCATGTAAGAAAACTATAAATATACTAGCGTCTTTTTCCTTTGGATCTCCTGACTTCCATCTAACCTTGTTCAGTCAGTCAGTCAGATGCAACGTAGAACTTTGTACGTAAGTACATCAGTTCATGTTGCCATACCACATCAGCACAGAGATATAATTGTCAATTCAAATCCCATAATAGTAGTAGAGGTAGTAAAGGTATTAGAAGTAATTGGAGAGGTTAGGATCAGAAGATATTATTCAAGAAGTATAATTCATTGATATAAGTTTAGAAAGACAAAATTAGATGTGTTGAAGAATCCAGAAGATTAGGGTTTGAGAGAACACAAAAAATAAATGCACCGGCGCCATTGCGAACGATTTTGAGCCATGTCATTCAAGGTCTCTAACCATCGGTTACTATCGTCTCGCGGACTTCAACCAGGTAGTCGACAATTACCGACATGGCTAAGTCCACTCGTCAATGACTTCATGGATTTCTGCCATGTTTTGGTTTAGCCGCCCCTAACTTTCTTCCAACCTATTCCTACACTACAAGACGAAGCTCGACGAGGCAGTCGGTGGTTGGGCATACGCAACACATGTCCCAACCACCTCAACTGATGAAGTTTCAATACTTCATCTATTGATCTGCCATTCTTACCTAACCTTGTTATTGGAATATAATCTATTTACTGTTAAACCGTGTTCTGATTTTGGGAAAACGTTTGGAGTGATTTGGTGTCCAAGAATACTAAACATTAGGAGGAATAGCTGGTTTGTAATAAAGAGAGAAAATTATAACAAAAAGTTGTTCACTACTCTTTGATTGTCAGTCTTTTTTTTCATTGATTTGTAATGTTATTTCCCACCAAATTACTCCATATTTGGTGAAATCCATGAACTTGTATAAATTCTATCATTTATGCATATTTTTCACAGAACCTTTCAAATGATGTGCAATCCGATAAAAATGTCTATGATTGGAGTAATAATTTAGAAAAAGCTGATGATTCTAATTTGTATTTTTCACCTGAAAAAGGAAATGTTATATTCTGTTCTTCTATCGATTCATGGGGATTTCGTGTAGATCAATTTTGTCAAACTTGGTCGGAACGCTTATCAATTCCGTGTACAATTTTACAAAAATCACTATGGGGTGATTATTACCTAACTTCTTCCTCCTCCTCCACAGAATCGAATAAAATGATTGTCAAATCGAATGCTAGACAAAAACAGAAAAAATCCATTTTTGTTCAGTTAGTCTTAGAACCTTTATGGAATGCATATCAAGTAAAAAAAAATATCATATCATTTCAATTATGATATCATGTACTTTTTTTCTGTTGTCAAAAATAACGACTGGTGTTTTTTTTTGTATAAAGATTTATAGCATAATTTGTAAGATCATACATACATACCTCATTTCAATGGCTAAAACTAATGCCAACTTCATCAAGTATCTCAGTCAGACAGTATTTATTGATATCCTCCCATCTTGTAGAGATTGTTGGAATTTTAAAAGCTACATACAAAGTAACTAGTTGGTTATCAGTGGGATGTTATTTCTGGATTTCGGTATAGGATTTCTGTTTATTAGTTTGTGTGTGTTTAAAGTAGCTGAGTCTTGTCGAGTTTAATCATGAAGGTAACAATGTTTGTCTCCGAAGCATTGCTCGTGAATCATGGGACAACCAAGTAAGCAATGCTGTCTTTAGGAAATGAGTAGTAGGTAAGGATGGCAAATCAATAGATGAAGTAGTGAAACTTCATTAGTTGAGGTGGTTGGGACATGTGTTGCGTATGGCCAACCACCGACTGCCGCGACGAGCTATGTTTTGTGATGTAGGAGTAGATTGGAAGAAAGCTAGACGCGGCCAGACCAAAACATGGCAGAAATCCATGAAATCACTGACAAGTGGACTGAGTCATGTTGGTAGATGTAGCCTACCTGGTTGGAGTCCGCGAGACGAAAGTCACCAATGGTTAGAGACCTTGAATGACATGGCTCAAAATCGTTTTCAATGGAGCAGGTGCATCCATTCGTTGTGCTCTCTCAAATCCTAATCTTCTGGATTCGTCAGCTCCTCTACCTTTGTCTTTCTAACTTTATCTCACTGAATTATATTTCTTGAATAATATCTTCAAACCCTAGTCTTCTTCATTACTATTAATACCCCTACTATCTTTATCACTATGGGATTTGATTTGACATTTGAGTCTCTGTGCTAATGTGGTATGGCAACATGAACTTATGTACATACGTACGAAGTTCTTACGTTGCAACTGACTGACTGACAATGTTTGTGCTTACACTAGTGATATATTTCAGCATACGTTTTCGTGCTTAGGCAAAGGTTAGACTAGGGTGGAAAAAAACTTTACCTTTGGACACTTGGTTAATACTGGACATCAGTTTGATACAGAGGTAGTTGTTAAAGTAATCCATCTCTTTCGACTTACTATATACTTAAAGGTTTGAAATTATATGTACGGTGGAGTCCATAAGAATTCGCCTTAAGAGCATTCATGCATCCTTTTTATTTACTCGGCTTTGGCGTCTGAACTAATGTCAGTGAGTGGAGTTGTTAAGCAATCTTACCTCTTCACTTACTATGGAAGCTTCTTTAGCCTTGGTGGGTTGATATCTAACGAAATTAACTTCACCATCACCTGTTAACTGGGGATAAAATGTTCTTCTGCTAAACGAAATACGAGCATACTGCATGGCAGTTGATTTTATATTACTTAATGACTGTAATACATGATCTATAAATGTAGAAGATATGCGTAGGCTTAAGATATTTGATCTGAGGTGTATTCGAAGCATTTTTTGCGTATTGTTGAACAGTCGAGTGTGTAGTGCTAAAGTAAGACGTAGAATACTATGTAAACATAGGAAACGTTTACCGACTCAGGTGGTTGGAATACACATGTTATGTTTTTTATCTGATTACCGCCTACCTTGACATGCGATGTTTCATAGTGTGGGAGTAGATTGGAAGAAAAGCTGGAGATGGATAAACTGAAGTAAGCCATTAGACAGACAGACAAGTACAACGCATAACTTCATACGTAAGTACATCAGTTCAGGTTGCCATACCACATCAGCACACAGACACAACTGTCAGTTCAAATCCAAGAGTGATAGAGATAATAGAAGTATTAGCAGTAATGGAGAAGATTAGGGAGCGAAGATATGATTCGAAAAGTATAATTCAGTGAGATAAATTTGTAAAGAGAAAGATAGAGATTATGAGGAATTCAGAAGGTTAGAATTAGAGAGAACACAAAGAGTGGATGCACCTGCGCCATTGCAAACGATTTTGAGCCATGTCATTCAAGTTCTCTAACCATTGGTGACTTTCGTCTTGCGGACCCCAACCAGGTAGCCTACATCTACCAACATGACTCTGTCCACTTATCAGTGACTTGATGAATTTATGCTATGTTTTGGTTTGTCCGCCTCTAGCTTTCTTCTAACCTACTCCTACACCACAAAACACCGCTTGTCGTGGCAGTCAGTGGTTAGGCAAACGTAACACATGTCCCAACCACCTCAACTGATGTAGTTGCATTAAATTGTGCACGGACAAAGTGTTGTTATAAACAATGTTGTTAGATGCAGAGTGCTTGGTTTCTGTCAACACTTTGAAATGATGGGGATGGTTATGGCGAAGTTTCGTTCTCTAAGCTGGATATTTCAGTTGTTCAGGTTTCATTGTTCTTCTGAACATTGTCATCACTTTTAATCGTGACCAATGGTTTCAGACATCGGGAGACATGCATTAGAAGAATGGATTACAATGGTCCAGTTGCCTTCACTCTCTTCTACCTCCTCCCAGATCCTAAGTTTTCTCGAGTCATATTATTCATGCCTAATCGTTTCTACTACTGATTCTGTAATTATTATTTTATTTAGTAGAGTAGGCGAACTGTCACCGGAATTCTTTACTTCAAGTGGTGTCCGTCAGGGATGTCCACTTTCTCCATTCTTGTTTAATTTTATCATTGACACGCTCCTAGAAATAGCCTTATCCTCGTCTGAATTTTCAGGAGCAGACCTTCTACCAGGTGGCTCGCTAATTGATTTATAATATGCCGATGACATAGTCCTACTTGTTGAAGACGCCGACAAAATGCAGTCTTCTGACCACCCTAAGAAACAATGCAATCATGTTCGGGATGCAGTTCTCACCCTCGAAATGCAAAATGTTGCTTCAAGACTGGGTTGCATCGGCACCTGAACTAGTGATAGGGAGTGAAGTAGTCGAACGTGTAGACCGCTTCACATATCTGGGGAGTCTCATCAGTGCTGATGGCCTGGTGACTGACGAAATCTCAGCTCGGATACAGAAAGCTCGATTTGCTTTTGCCAATTTATGGCGTAGGCGAGATATCCGTTCGCTAAACAAAGGACGAGTGTACTGCACAGCAGTTTGCTCCGGCCTACTATATGGATGTGAAACATGGCCGTAAAGAGAAGAAGATGTTCGTTGGTTACTGGTTTTCGATCATAGGTGTCTTCGAAGCATTGCTCCTATACCGTGGGACAACCGAGTGAGCAACGCTGTTATTAGGAAACGGGTGCTAGGTAAGAATGGCAGATCAATAGATGAAGTAATGAAACTTCATCAGTTGAGGTGGTTGGGACATGTGCTGCGTATGCCTAACCACCGACTGCCTCGACGAGATATGTTTTGTGGCGTAGGAATAGGTTGGTAGAAAGCTAGGGGAGGCCAAACCAAAACATTGCAGAAATCCATGAAGTCATTGACGAGCCATGTCTGTAGTTGTCGACTACCTGGTTGCGGTCCGCGAGATGATAATAATCGATGGTTAGAGACCTTGAATGACATGGCTCAAAATCGTTTGCAATGGCGCAAGTGCATCCATTCGTTGAGCTCTTTCAAATCCTAATCTTCTGGATTCTTCAACACTTCCAGTTTTGACTTTCGAAACTTTTCTCACTGAATCATACTTCTTGAATAATATTTTCTAATCCTAACCTCTCCGATAATTTGTAATACCTTTACTACCTCTTCTACTATTGGATTTGAATTGACAATTATATCTCTGTGCTGATGTGGTCTGGCAACATGAACTGATATACTTACGTACGAAGTTCTACGTTCCAACTGACTAACTGACTGAGTAGAGACACCTTTAAACCTACCATAATGGTTTTTCATTTTTTTTATATCATTTAAAAGCTTTAAATAGTTTTATTCCAACTTACAATTACTGGTAAATTATTGTTTCGTTTTTTTCTATTTCTTTTACTACTTCAGACATTATTATTAGAAGATAAACGTGACAAAGTATTTGTAATGGCTCAAAAAGTTGGTGTCAATTTAGATCAACGTATTATACGCAATGTTGATAGTCGTGGAGTGTTACGTGCTTTCTTAAGTGCTTGGCTATCGTTAGGTCATACACTTATGCTTGCTATAACCGATATATGTCCTTGTCCATCTTTAGCTGTATCTGCTGATCGAGCTGTGCATATGTTGTATGGAGATACAGTGTTATGTGATTCAACATTTATCAAACAAGATACCCCAATGACAGTGGATCAAACTTCACGTGTACCAATCAATTCTATATATTCAACATCAGGAGCTAGCTTAGGTTAATTAATTCTTTCTATATGTTGTTACATTTGTGTACTATATTGATTTCTTAATCTATAAAGTATTGATGTGATCACGTGTTATTCATCGACTCCTATCCTACCGGATATTTTTGTTAATACGAGGTTATATAATGCATTTTGTGCACTGGAATATATTTCCATGAATATTTCACTTCTACCGGAAGTTTATGCTGATGACGTTGTTCAGAAGAACAATGAAAGCTCTACAACCAAGAAATCCAGCTCGGAGAACGGAAATCCATCACAATCTTTAGGCGATTGTTAGAGACGAGTGAGACATCAGCTAATAAGTTTCAAAAACAGTGAAGGTCATGAGACGCCCGAGTCCTTTTCTAAAGTCGTGGTTGCTCAAAATTAAAATTCCTAGGTTTTAGAGGATGCCTATCAGGTTTTGAACGACTATGAAAAGCTTTAAGATGAAGGTTTTAAATAGGATCAATGCTGACACCCAACAATCAATGTATTTATAATATTACTGTGAATGGGTTGCCAAGTGTTTAATAGAACACTGTGTTTTATTTTCAGTAAATGAAAGGTAGACCAGTGTTATGGTTAATCTGCGCAACGGATTTGGCGACGTCTCATGATATTACAGAAGCATTTCTAACTGAGTCAATATAAGACAGGTCGCTGTGATTACTAATGCTTATAATCAATCAGGTAGTTGTAACCACAAATCACAAACAATAAAGCTATGTCAATGCAATCTAATTCCTACATACGCTGTCAAGGAGTAAAGCCGTCAATTGTGATCGTTATTCATTAAGCTTAAGGTGGATTCGTCACAGGATAGTCAGTAGATTCAACTGCTATGGAGGTGGATACTTAGGATCCACTTAAAGGGGAGTTGGAAAACCTTGATTCCAAGTCATTGGAAGAATAAATGACGCATAAACCTATTGTTGGTCACCGGCTACCATAGGACTACAACTCCTGATGTTCCTACACTGCCTTGTAAATGAAAGACTCGGCGAGTAGTAGTTCCCTGAGAGAACCACCTGTTTCGGTTTAGGCACCTGAATAGAGTAGTATCTCAGCCTACTCTAAAATTCAATAATTTGTGTGACATATAAATACTTAGATGCCCCCTTTATACTAATGCTTACGTGTTCAGATATGTCAGCATCACAAGTCATCAAATTTAAGGGAAATTATTTCTCTACAAATCATTTACTACAAATCTCATTCAGACAATTCACATTGTATGATCATTTGCTAACTACTACTAGACTGACAATTTGACAGTCTCTTAATTGATACCGTCGACAAGCAAAACTGTATCATGGAATATTTTTTCTTAAAAATTTATTCGAATTATTTAACCGTTTTTTTTCATTTTATTTATTTTATTTCTTCTCTCTGTGTATTTTTAGCTCTTCAATCGTGTGATTCATCATCAATGGCTCCAACTATTATATTTGTAGCTAAAGTATTTTGGACGGATAAATTACGTCCTACTTCAAATGTTAGGAATAATCTTGTTTGTGAAAATACAAAGTAATTAATTAATTTGTTTTATTTATGTAATCTTTCACTCTGTACTCATGTGTTATGACAACGTTAACTGATGTACTTACGTACAAAGTTCTACGTTGTAGCTGACTAATTGACTGACTGATGTCCCATACACAACAATAAATGAAAGAGAAGACAGTCAGTGTGGGAGTAGCCGTAGGTCTCAACATACACGAGTGAGAAGACAAGGTCCTTCGATACAACACAACATGCACCAACTAAATCGTCTTTGACAAAGAAGCTTCAAAAATGTGGGAACCTTAACATATCTGAGCAGCATCATTGATATGAGCAAGGTGGATCTGATGCGGATTGGCAATGCCATGGGAAGCATTTCTACAATTGAAGAACAGTTGAAACTCAAAACAACTATCGACAAACACCAAAGTCAGGATCCTCAGTATGAACGTCAAGACAGTTCTACTGTATGGAGCGGAAACTTGAAGAACTACTAAAGCCATCATCCAGAAGATACAAGTGTTTATTAACAGTTGTCTACGCAAAATACTTCGGATCGACTGGCCAGATCATCAGCAACAATCTACTATGGGAGAGAACAAACCACATTCTAGTAGACGAAGAAATCGAGAAAATCGCTGGAAGTGGATGGGACATATTGCGGAAACTATTCAACTGTGTCACGATGCAAGTCGTCACAAGGCAAGAGATAACAAGGATACTATATATATATATATATATATATATAACGCAATAGAGATAAATTGAAAATTAAGTAAACTGACGTCACATACTGTGAATAAATTGCTACAAATGGAGAAAACATGATAAATGTCAATGAATGTGATACATTTTAAATCAATAAATAGATTGTGAAAATTGATTTTTTTATTTGCTCAATGTAGAAGAAACTCATCATCATCATCATCATTGAACATTTACCGAATAAATTTACATAAAATAAACCTGATTGGCATCGGTTTCAAACATGATGATTGATTGTTTATAATGATTTTTGTAAATTATTTATATTGACTTATAAAATGAAGGGGTGATTACTATGTTTACTTATTGTTCAGTAAATAAGAATGTTAGACATTAACACCATTGGATGTCGGCTCAGTGATCCAGAGGTTAAGCGTTCTCGCGCATGATCGTAAGTCCTGGGTTCAAATCCTGCTAGGTGCAAGAGTCGTGGGTCCACACTTCTGTTGAGTCCCATACTGGGACGAAACGGCCATCCAGTGCTTCCAGGTTTCTTATGGTGGTCTAGGATTGATCGATTCATGATTTCGATGAAGTAACTTAACAATCTCCACAACCCTAACATGCACATAAAAAATAGACAATTTTCAAGATAAAATAAGTGAACAATTGTCCTTGGGAATTCCATCATGTAGTATCAGTGATTTAAACATACGCACGATTTGAAAGTTTTCACATGCACGATAACATGTTGAAACTTGATTGAAATAATTTATTTACGAAGAAATATGGATTTATACAACACATTACTTAGTTATAATTCATCTTGTTTGTGTGTGATGATTAATGCTGCTACTCTGTTACCTAAAATTGAAGTAAGTGATCTAACTACTAAGTTACACCACTCCACCAATATCGAAACTTAACAAACATTCATATAGTTTTTATTATTCTAAGTAGTGTATTCCTCATTGTTATAACCAAAGTGTTTCTGTGTATCTGCGAATATGAAAATAGCCATCCAGGTCAAAAGTTTTCATTCAAAGGCGATTTTCAATCTTAAACAACTTTTTTTACTCATCATAATTTCTTCATGATGGAGGTAATTCTGTGGCTCAGTGGTTCAAAATGTTTAAACTTCAGGCATTAAGTTCACAAGTTCGAACTCTGCTCCACCTATTTCGGTTTGATCAGTCGGATAGTATTATTATTACCCCTCGCAATTAGAGTATCTTTCAAAATTAAAAACTTGTATCTGCACCTGATAAGAGGGTTAATAAATAATATGTTTATTATTTATTATAATTTTGACAAATCTAAGTGATTTTCAAGTGACTTTAATTTCTGTTCATTGCTTAGTTTGTATTCCTTCAACTTGATGTTCGTTAGTTAGTCAGTCAGTTACAACGTAGAACTTTGTACTTGCGTACATCGGTTCAGGTTACCATATCACATTAGTAAAGAGACGCAATTGTCAATTCAAAGCTAATAGTAGTAGAGGTATTAGCAGTATTAGCGGTAATCGGAGAGATTCGAGTTCGAAGACATTATTCAAAAAGTATAATCTAGTGAAATAAACTTGATAAAAAAAGATAAAGGTGATGAGGAACTCTGAAGGTTAGGACTTGACAGAACACAAAGAATGAATGCACCTGCGCCATTGCAAACGGTTTTGAGCCACGTCGTTCAAGGTCTCTGACCGTCTATTGCTATCATCTCGCGGACCCCAACCAGATAGTCGACACCTACGAATATGGCTCGATCCATTTGCCATGTTTTGGTTTGACCGTCCCTACTCCTACACTACAAAACATAGCTTAACGAGGCAGTCAGTGTGTAGTGAACGAGAACACAGGTGGGGCAACCGAATTGTATTTAACGAAAATTACAGAGTTACTCAGTAAAATTGGAAAACCATATCGTAAATCGTTCATTTGCAAATTATCAGTTCATCTATATCGAACTGGACTGTTCCTGTTGCCAAACATCAATCCATTGTCACTATTCATGCGTTTCATACAAATTCCATTGTGTTCTTCTAACTCTTCCTTTCTTGATCTTCCGCCATCATCTTCTACTGCCAGACATTACGTTGACACTCACGTCATATACTACTTATAAGTAGCTCACACCACAGGTGGTCAGGCTAACGCAATACATGTGCCAACCACCTCAACTTGATGTTACCGTTGCATTTAATTATTCAGTACCTTTGATTTATTTTGTCAAATAAATCACTCCTTGAATTTTTATATTCATTCTTTTTTTAGACAAGAAAATACAAATTCTGATAATGTTTTATCATCATGTCAAACAGATGTCATTAATCATCATTCAAATGAACCACAATCTTTTGTCACGAAAGAAACAAATTTACGTTCTCCTTTGTTATTGTGTAATCCATTCGTAGATACTGATTTTATTGCTTTAGCTCGAGTATTTAGTGGTTCTGTTTATGCTGGTCAAAAGCTATTTGTACTTGGACCTAAATTTGATGGTCGGAAAGTAAGTGCTAAATTTTCAATGATATATATTCAATTTTTATTTGAGTTTTTTTAAAAATGAAATATTGTATAGAGTATTCTGACATACAACAGCGCTTGTGTCTTTATGTCGACGCATAGGGCTTGTCCCAAGCCTTCGGACAAATCAACAAATCCATTCTTCTGGAGTTATTCTTCACTCGTCTTTTGAGCTTGTCAACCACTCGCTTTTATCTTGGTTGTTTCTATTCACGTATGCGTGTGCATCACTTACTTTGCTTATCGCATACGCCTGGCTTCTTGTTGCCCGGACTATAAATGCTTAGTCATGTCTTATTACACTGAGTTGGAGAGCTCACCTCGTCCATTTCGCTTTGTTTTATTGTAGCGCTTGGTACTCTTGTTTTTGTTTGTCTAAATGATTGCCTGAAATAAACTGATCCAACCAAATCCATCCGTATTTGGCTTTTGATTGCCGCCGTCACCTAAGTGTATGATACATGGAAAGTGAAGGGTACATTTATTTCATATTATACTCGAACGTCGTAAATAAGGAATTCAGCTCATGGGTCCCACTAGATTAGTGAGCCATACATCGAATCTAACGCAGCCACAAGCTTTTTTGATATACTGATATTGAATCAGTTAAATATGTCTGGCATATTGTAGTGAAGGAGAACACAGGTGAGGTTAACCGAATTGTATTTAACGAAAATTACAGAGTTACTCAGTAAAATAGGAAAACCATATCGTAAATCGTTAATTTGCAAATCTTCAATCCATCATCAATCCATTGTCACTATTCATGCGTTTCATACAAATTCCATCATGTTCCCACTCTTCCTTTTGTTGATCTTCCCCCATCTTCTGCTGCTAGACATTACGTTTACACTCGCACCATATACTACTTATAAGTAGCGCGCACCACAATATTAGTGAAACTTATATTCCATCAGGTATTGAGATCCAAATCATTTAGCGTATTTACAGTCACATAAGCATTACTATGCAGTTAACCGATGAGCGATTAGTTCACAGTAAAGACTGGTTTATGAACTAACTAGTTTCCACAGTCTGTATTTATGGCATGAATGATTAGCTTGTCAAAAATAAATAACATTGTCTTGTGCTAACAACGATCTTTTCATCTTAAACTCTTGTTCAGGTTTTTCATTTCATGTTTTCATTTCGACTACTTAAGGATTTCTAATTTATTTCAGTACCTCCATGTATTACTCAAACTTCAGTGTCTCTAGTGTTTTAGGCTCATTCAAGTAATCGAAAACAACTGTCTGAATTCTAGACTGTCAGTAGTATACATATCATGTTACATTGAGTAGTTTCCATTTTTTTTAAGTTTACTTATTTTGCTGTGTCAGGTTCCTTCATATCTCTTGGATATAGATCCTGAAAGTTTGCCACTTGGTCCTGTCCGATTACGAAACGATGATGAAGATACTGATATTTCATTGACAAGAAATGAAATTGGTTCAATTGATAATTTTTGTACATTTAGTCCAATAAATTCTGGTTCTTTACCTGTCAGTCGTTCAGGATCTGTTGGATTCAAGCGGGTATCGATTGGCTGGTCCTAAATACTTACGTCATGTTTATGTGGCTTGCATTGTTCGTGTCCTCCAACTATTAGGAGGTCAGTCTGATTTTGTTGAACTTCTCGAACCTGTACCATCGGGAAACATAGTTGGTCTTACTGGACCAGATTTGATAGCCTGTCTTCCGAAATCCGGTCTTTTGTAAGTCGGCTATCGCTAGTTTCTTCAGTTAGCAAAACGGACAGTAATGAAACTCAACTAGCTCCTGTTCTCCCATTAGCTGGTTTAGCAAAAATAGCCATCCAGGTCAAAAGTTTTCATTCAAAGGCGATTTTCAATCTTAAACAACTTTTTTTACTCATCATAATTTCTTCATGATGGAGGTAATTCTGTGGCTCAGTGGTTCAAAATGTTTAAACTTCAGGCATTAAGTTCACAAGTTCGAACTCTGCTCCACCTATTTCGGTTTGATCAGTCGGATAGTATTATTATTACCCCTCGCAATTAGAGTATCTTTCAAAATTAAAAACTTGTATCTGCACCTGATAAGAGGGTTAATAAATAATATGTTTATTATTTATTATAATTTTGACAAATCTAAGTGATTTTCAAGTGACTTTAATTTCTGTTCATTGCTTAGTTTGTATTCCTTCAACTTGATGTTCGTTAGTTAGTCAGTCAGTTACAACGTAGAACTTTGTACTTGCGTACATCGGTTCAGGTTACCATATCACATTAGTAAAGAGACGCAATTGTCAATTCAAAGCTAATAGTAGTAGAGGTATTAGCAGTATTAGCGGTAATCGGAGAGATTCGAGTTCGAAGACATTATTCAAAAAGTATAATCTAGTGAAATAAACTTGATAAAAAAAGATAAAGGTGATGAGGAACTCTGAAGGTTAGGACTTGACAGAACACAAAGAATGAATGCACCTGCGCCATTGCAAACGGTTTTGAGCCACGTCGTTCAAGGTCTCTGACCGTCTATTGCTATCATCTCGCGGACCCCAACCAGATAGTCGACACCTACGAATATGGCTCGATCCATTTGCCATGTTTTGGTTTGACCGTCCCTACTCCTACACTACAAAACATAGCTTAACGAGGCAGTCAGTGTGTAGTGAACGAGAACACAGGTGGGGCAACCGAATTGTATTTAACGAAAATTACAGAGTTACTCAGTAAAATTGGAAAACCATATCGTAAATCGTTCATTTGCAAATTATCAGTTCATCTATATCGAACTGGACTGTTCCTGTTGCCAAACATCAATCCATTGTCACTATTCATGCGTTTCATACAAATTCCATTGTGTTCTTCTAACTCTTCCTTTCTTGATCTTCCGCCATCATCTTCTACTGCCAGACATTACGTTGACACTCACGTCATATACTACTTATAAGTAGCTCACACCACAGGTGGTCAGGCTAACGCAATACATGTGCCAACCACCTCAACTTGATGTTACCGTTGCATTTAATTATTCAGTACCTTTGATTTATTTTGTCAAATAAATCACTCCTTGAATTTTTATATTCATTCTTTTTTTAGACAAGAAAATACAAATTCTGATAATGTTTTATCATCATGTCAAACAGATGTCATTAATCATCATTCAAATGAACCACAATCTTTTGTCACGAAAGAAACAAATTTACGTTCTCCTTTGTTATTGTGTAATCCATTCGTAGATACTGATTTTATTGCTTTAGCTCGAGTATTTAGTGGTTCTGTTTATGCTGGTCAAAAGCTATTTGTACTTGGACCTAAATTTGATGGTCGGAAAGTAAGTGCTAAATTTTCAATGATATATATTCAATTTTTATTTGAGTTTTTTTAAAAATGAAATATTGTATAGAGTATTCTGACATACAACAGCGCTTGTGTCTTTATGTCGACGCATAGGGCTTGTCCCAAGCCTTCGGACAAATCAACAAATCCATTCTTCTGGAGTTATTCTTCACTCGTCTTTTGAGCTTGTCAACCACTCGCTTTTATCTTGGTTGTTTCTATTCACGTATGCGTGTGCATCACTTACTTTGCTTATCGCATACGCCTGGCTTCTTGTTGCCCGGACTATAAATGCTTAGTCATGTCTTATTACACTGAGTTGGAGAGCTCACCTCGTCCATTTCGCTTTGTTTTATTGTAGCGCTTGGTACTCTTGTTTTTGTTTGTCTAAATGATTGCCTGAAATAAACTGATCCAACCAAATCCATCCGTATTTGGCTTTTGATTGCCGCCGTCACCTAAGTGTATGATACATGGAAAGTGAAGGGTACATTTATTTCATATTATACTCGAACGTCGTAAATAAGGAATTCAGCTCATGGGTCCCACTAGATTAGTGAGCCATACATCGAATCTAACGCAGCCACAAGCTTTTTTGATATACTGATATTGAATCAGTTAAATATGTCTGGCATATTGTAGTGAAGGAGAACACAGGTGAGGTTAACCGAATTGTATTTAACGAAAATTACAGAGTTACTCAGTAAAATAGGAAAACCATATCGTAAATCGTTAATTTGCAAATCTTCAATCCATCATCAATCCATTGTCACTATTCATGCGTTTCATACAAATTCCATCATGTTCCCACTCTTCCTTTTGTTGATCTTCCCCCATCTTCTGCTGCTAGACATTACGTTTACACTCGCACCATATACTACTTATAAGTAGCGCGCACCACAATATTAGTGAAACTTATATTCCATCAGGTATTGAGATCCAAATCATTTAGCGTATTTACAGTCACATAAGCATTACTATGCAGTTAACCGATGAGCGATTAGTTCACAGTAAAGACTGGTTTATGAACTAACTAGTTTCCACAGTCTGTATTTATGGCATGAATGATTAGCTTGTCAAAAATAAATAACATTGTCTTGTGCTAACAACGATCTTTTCATCTTAAACTCTTGTTCAGGTTTTTCATTTCATGTTTTCATTTCGACTACTTAAGGATTTCTAATTTATTTCAGTACCTCCATGTATTACTCAAACTTCAGTGTCTCTAGTGTTTTAGGCTCATTCAAGTAATCGAAAACAACTGTCTGAATTCTAGACTGTCAGTAGTATACATATCATGTTACATTGAGTAGTTTCCATTTTTTTAAGTTTACTTATTTTGCTGTGTCAGGTTCCTTCATATCTCTTGGATATAGATCCTGAAAGTTTGCCACTTGGTCCTGTCCGATTACGAAACGATGATGAAGATACTGATATTTCATTGACAAGAAATGAAATTGGTTCAATTGATAATTTTTGTACATTTAGTCCAATAAATTCTGGTTCTTTACCTGTCAGTCGTTCAGGATCTGTTGGAGGTTCAAGCGGGTATCGATTGGCTGGTCCTAAATACTTACGTCATGTTTATGTGGCTTGCATTGTTCGTGTCCTCCAACTATTAGGAGGTCAGTCTGATTTTGTTGAACTTCTCGAACCTGTACCATCGGGAAACATAGTTGGTCTTACTGGACCAGATTTGATAGCCTGTCTTCCGAAATCCGGTCTTTTGGTAAGTCGGCTATCGCTAGTTTCTTCAGTTAGCAAAACGGACAGTAATGAAACTCAACTAGCTCCTGTTCTCCCATTAGCTGGTTTAGCAGTTTGGCATGGGGCACCAGTGATTTCAGTTGCTGTCGAGCCTGCATCTGCTTCGAATTCGGAAGATGTTTACAGATTGGAACGTGGTCTTCGACTTTTAGATCGTGCTGATCCCTGTGCTGAGGTAAATTTTTTAATTTTTATCTTATTATTTACTAATATTGAATTTGTTAATGACTGTCTATCTAACTGAAAAATTCGGCGTCTCTGACTTAGTCACGATGTTCTGTGATACTACTTCTTGATTATTTAAATACATAAACATTGGTACAAAGGGTCGCCTAGTATTTATTCGCCACACAAATCATTGAACTTGTGTTGGTTATTTACGCGAAGTCATGTAGGAGTATCCCGAGGCGGAGTGCGGTTTTCTCCTCATCCCTGGCTGTACCAAGTCATTTGAGAGATATATCAGTTCAAAAATTCGTTATGAATTTTGCTGATATTTATCCGGAGTTTGTAATTAGACTAGAAGTTGAGGAATAAATGTTCCAGTTCACGTAACTTGGATATCATGAGATGGCAAAGCATAAAATTGGCATAAATGTAAAAATACCGCTATCCAATAGCACCGACCAAAAGGTCTTTCAATCTCTAGTGTATCTTGAGTCGCTCTTAAAGCGGGGAGTTGACATAGTGTTTGTCAGTTTAGGCACTTATTCAATGCTCTGTCTTCTTTAACCCTAGATAGCCGCCAAAAATTAGTGTACTTCAAGACTGAAAACTTACGAGTACGGGTTACATACATACTGCTTGTATTGATAGCAATCTTATTGGTGAAAAAATATACTTAAAGTGGTTAATTTTCGTTGTATGCGATGGATAGTTTAATTGTGTATAGCTTTCATTGTTCTTCTGAACAATATTCTCTATACAAACATCCGGTTGAATTAATCCTGTTTATATTGATTTTGTTTATTTTATTGTTGACTAGAGTCATCTTGTCATGCCAGATAACGACAAGGCAAGATAAAAAATAATTAACTATGGGGATGAAATGTATTAGAGTAATCTTTAAAGTGAAGATCCACACTATGTCAACCGACTTTGAACCATGTCACCCAGTGTCTCCAACCGTTTTAGTTATGATAGTTGGATGGACTTGCAATTGGGTAATTGGAATCAGCGCCTATATAGAGAGACAAATACAATGCAGAACTTCGTACGTAAGTACATCAGTTCAGGTTGCCATGCCCCATCAGCACAGAGACGCAACTATCAGTTCAAATCCAAGAGTGATAGCAATAATAGAAGTATTAACAGTAATGGAGAAGATTAGGGAGCGAAGATAAATTTAGGAGAAAGGTAGAGATTATGTGGAATTCAGAAGGTTAGAATTTCATAGAACACAAACAGTGGATGCACCTGCGTCATTGCAAACGGTTTTGAGCCATGTCGTTCAACGTCTCTAACCATTGGTGACTGCCTTCTCGTGGACCCCAACCAGGTAGTCGACAACTGCCGACATGACTCATTCCACTCGTCAGTGACTTCATGGATTTGTGCCATGTTTTGGTTTGGCTGCCCCTAGCTTTCTTCCAACCTACTCCTACACCACAAAACATAGCTCGTCGCGGCAGTCGGTGGCATACGTAACCCATGTCCCAACCACCTTAACTGATGAAGTGTCACTACTTCATCTATTGATTTGCCATCCTTACCTAGAACTCGTTCCCCTAACGACTGCATTGCTTATACGGCTGTCCCATGATACACGAACAATGCTTCGGAGACACCGATGATCGAATGCTAGTAACCTACGAACATCTTCTACTCTTAACGGCCAAGTCTCGCATCCGTAAAGTAGGACGGAGCGAACTGCTGCACAGTACACCCGTCCTTTAGTCAACAAACGGATATCTCGCCTGCGTCGGTGGTTCAATGCTAGAATGCTCGCTTGCCTATATAACTCAATTCGTTAGTCAATGACTTTATGAAATGGCATCATGTCATAGTTTGTGAATATCTTTAGACTTTTTTTTCCGAACCTACTTTTAGACTAACCAATATCACACCTAATAGCAATGGTTAAAAGCAATAAGTTAGTTCATTCTAATTTGTTTTTAGTTGGAATTTATTGACTACAGCGTAATTGACCAAAGATTATTGATATTCCACTGATTTGTACAATATGTATTGAGTGTTTATATGAATGATATTATGTTGATCCTGTGATATGTATTGATTTGACTTCAAAAAATTACTTGAACTGATTGTTCTGGTTAGCGTTTTGTTTTCTAAGCGAGTTAGTTTTCCACGGGATGGGGTCGCTAACCCCATGTGCCCGACCCTCCTCCTTTATCCGGTCTTGGTACTGGCAGTAACCGCAGAGAGGGGCTTCAGCGCGCAGTATATACTTACTTACTTACTTACTTACGCCTGTTACCCCCAATGGAGCATAGGCCGCCCACCAGTTTTCTCCAACCAACTCTGTCCCAAGCTTCCCTCTCCAGTTGTGTCCAATGTTTGTTCATTCCTCTCATATCTTTCTCTATTTCTCGGAGTAATGTGTTCCTTCGCCTTCCACTTTTCCTTTTGCCTTGAGGGTTCCATGTGAGGACTTGTCTCGTGACGCAGTTGGGTGCTTTTCGTAGTGTGTGTCCTATCCACTTCCACCACTTCTTCCTGATTTCCTCCTCCACTGGAATCTGGTTTGTTCTCTCCTACAGCAGGTTGTTGCTGATGGTATCTGGCCAACGAATCTGAAGTATTTCGCGTAGACGACTGTTAATAAACACTTGTATCTTATGGACGATGGCTTTCGCAGTTCTCAAAGTTTCCGCTCCATAAAGTAGAAATGTCTTGACATTTGTATTGAAAATCCTGATTTTGATTTTGTTTGAAAGTTGTTTGGAGTTGCAGATATTTTTCAACTGTAGAAATGCAGCCCTCGCTTTGCCGATCCGCGCCCTCACATCTGCATCCGTTCCACCTTTCTCGTCGATGATGATGCCCAGATATGTAAAGGTGTTAACGTCCTCCAAAGCATCTCCATCAAGAGTGATTTGGTTGGTGCATGTTGTATTGCATCGGAGAATTTTGCTTTTTCTTTTATGTATGTTGAGACCTACTGCTGCTGAGGTTGCTGCTGCTACACTGGTAATCTTCTCTTGCATTTGTTGTTGCGTGTTTGATAGAAGAGCCAGGTCATCTGCGAAGTTCAGATCATCCAGCTGCGTCCTAGCTGTTCACTGAATACCGTGCTTCCCTTCAGATGCCGACGTCTTCATAATCCCGTCGATGACCAGGAGAAAGAGAAAGGGTGAGAGTAAGCAACCTTGCCTGACACCGGTCTTCACCTCGAAAGAGTCTGTTAGCTGTCCTTCGTGTACGATTTTGCAGGTGAATCCATCATAAGAATTCCGTATGATGTTAACTATCTTCTCAGGCCCACCGTAGTGTCGAAGAAGCCTCCAGAGTGTTTTCCTATCCACGCTATCGAATGCTTTCTCGTAGTCGATGAAGTTGATGTAGAGTGGTGGGTTCCATTCAATTGATTGTTCCACAATGATCCGTAATGTAGTGATTTGGTCAGTACACGATCGATCCTTACGAAATCCGGCCTGTTGATCTCGAAGTTGGGCGTCTACTAAGTCCTTCATTCTGTTTAACAATACCCTGTTGAAAACTTTGCCTGGTATCGAAAGAAGAATGATGCCTCTGTGGTTCTCACACTTGCTGAGATCGCCTTTCTTTGGTACTTTGATCAGGTATCCTTCTTTCCAATCTGATGGCACTAGTTCCTCATTCCAAATCTTCTTGAAGAGAATGTGAAAGATTTTCGCAGTTGCTTCTACATCTGCTTTCATTGCCTCTGCTGGAATGTTGTCTGGTCCTGCTGCTTTGCCGCTCTTGATTTGTTTGATTACCATACTGACCTCCTCAATCGTAGGTGCGCCAATATTAATTGGGAGATCCGTGGATGCTGCTTCGATGTTGGGTGTGTTCAGTAGAGCTGGTCGATTCAAGATTTCCTTGAAGTGCTCTACGCACCTATTTCTTTGTTCTTCAGTGTTGCTGATTACTTTGCCCGCCTTGCTTTTCACTAGTCGTTCTGGTTTACGATAGTTTCCGGCGAGCTTCTTTGTAGTTTCGTACAATTGTCTCATGTTTCCTTTGCTTGCAGCCTTTTCCGCCGTCATTGCTAGATCTTCCACATCTTTTCGTTTGTCAGCTCTGATGCTCTTCTTAACTTTCCTGTTTGCTTCTGTGTATGCAGCTTGTGCGGTAACTTTCTCTGCTCTTGTTCGGTTGACATTCACTGTTGCCTTCTTGTTCCTCCTTTCTTTAATTTTTGCAAGAGTATCATCAGAGATCCATTCCTTATGATGGTACTTCTTGCGACCAAGAAATTCGTGACATGTTGAAGTGATTGCCTCCTTAATCCCTTTCCAATCGTTCTCCAATGTTGCTTCCTCTCCATTGAGGAAATATCGTGCAAGGCCTGGAACCTATTTTTGAGGGTTCTATGAAATTCTAAGTTTCTGCATTCCTCATAATCTCCACCTTTCTCCTTCTAGATCTATCTTACTGAATTATACTTCTCGAATCATATCTTCTAACCCTAATCTTCTCAATTACTGCTACTACTTCTATTATTGCCATCACTCTTGGATTTGAACTGACAGTTGTATCTGTGTGCTGATATGGTATGGCAACCTGAACTGATGTACTTACGTACGAAGTTCTGCGTTGTATCTGTCTGTCTGAGTGTTTATATGGGTGATTGTATGTTGATCCTGCCATATGTATTGATTTGTCTTCAAAAAAGTTACTTGAATTGATTGTTCTGGTTAGCGTTTTGTTTTCTTAGCGAGTTAGTTTTCCACAGGATGGGGTCGCTAACCGCGCACACCCAACCTTCCTGCTCTATCCGGTCTTGGTACTGGTAGTGACCGCAGAGAGTAGGGAGCTCCACCGCTGAGTTTATACTTATTTTTTCTTTTATCTAGGTGACAATCACAACCAGTGGTGAATATATTATCCGTGCTGCTGGTGAAATTCATTTACAAAAATGTATTGAAGATTTAATGAAATATTTTGCCCCACAAGTTGAATTACAATTATCACCATTTGTTGTACCATTTCGTGAAACAATCATCGATTCATGTAACACATTGAATTCTCCATCATTAATTCAATTATCCAATTTGTTTTATGGTAAAGCATGGAGTCAATTTGAACAGTTATTACAACAATTGAATGTAACATCCGATATGAATACTTATTGTCATGAATTGCAAAAGTTGACTTTACATGCATCAGAATCATCATGTACCATGAATGAAGATGAAGGGAACAATCCGATTGTTACACAAAAGTTGCTTCATTTAAATCCCAGCTTAGATATGAATGATTTTCCTATTAGTATATTTCAATTACCACATAGTAAGCCGAGAACAAGAATTCTAATACGAGTTACTGCTCATCCAATGCCTAATGAATTGTTAAATTGGATTGAACATTGTGGGTCGGCGAAAGTGTCTCAATTGATACGAGCTTTTAAAAGTAAAGTGAGTGAATTTTGTTGATGTTTTGTGAATAACGATAATGATATTATACATTTGGAATTATCAATCAATCAGTCATTGTTAGACCACCATTAGAAACCTGGAAGCACTGAAAGACGGCCGTTTCGTCCTGATATGGGACTCATTAGTGGTAGTGCGCATCCACGACTCCCGCACCTCGCAGGATTCGAACCTGAGACCTTCGGTATTATGCGCGAACGCCTAACCATCGGACCACTGTGCCGGCATCCAACGGTGTTAATGTCTATCTCGGATTGATCTAGGGATTTTGCGCAACCTCACTCATTTGTCTTTGGTAGTTACTGCCTACACCCGACAGGGTTGAACTCCTCCACTGGTCACGTCTTCTCAACTAGAACTCCGAGAATTTCCTCACGAAGCTAGTCACTAGTGAGTACTGTTACGATATTTTCAGTTAGCGCTTTGGAGATTTGTGTTTTCTTACACATTTGAAATCAATGATTGTTGTTAGACCACCATTCCAGTACTTCCAGGTTTCTAATGGTGTCTCCAAAGCGCTAACTGAAAATGTCATTATACTTTGTGATCTTCGAGTAAGCAGCACTGAGGTTAGATATAATAGAGTTCTAAGTAAGAAAAAGACAGCTTGTTTAACATAGTGGTATATTTTTAGCAACTAACAAAGTTGAAATATGTATTGCATATGTTCAACCATCGAAAATTTCTCCGCAGTTGAAGTTGTCTGGTGTAAGAGTAAGCTGAAAAAAGGCTAGGTGATGCCGAACCAAGATATAGTCATCACTCTATGACAACATACTTACTGTTAGACTTCAGTCATTTAAATAAGTATAGACGACTAGCCTACCTATAGTCTAGAACTGGGTTTCAGGAGACCAGAAATGACGTTTCGTGAACCCGCATTGTTTTCATTAGCTGTGCAGTGTGATAAAGGAGTGTGAGGAGTTAGTCGCGGAGATAAGAGAGGTACTAGGGGGATGTAGGAAGGATTTGATTTTGACCAATTTGGTCTCGTGTGTTGTCACGGGTATGAGGGCGGTTGTCACTTCCCGGCTGCCCACACCGTGGAAGGTTGTTTCTTGAGGAACCTGAAAAGGAAGGTAGATTAGCGTTGGTACTAACGACCTGGGAGCGTGACTGCAGAGTTCAAGGGACAACTGCTTGAGGCCGGTCACGCACGGCCTTTTTATGAGAAGTTTTTTGAGTATTACCTCCGCTCTTAAAAGCCCTTAGTGGGCATCCTTACCGACTGAGACGGAAATCCATGAGGTAGGGTGAGGTGTGACATTTTTAGGATCAACCTTTTCTAACCCTTCCTTCCTTGTCACAAGGCAGCATCGCTACAGATGCTGGTTGTCCGAGGGAAACACCTTACTGCTATCACACCCCTCTGCAGTCAGCAGTACGACTTCGCCCTCAGACCTTGAGTATCTGCTTTTAGTCTCATCGTTCTCTAATCGACCTGCTTGGCATAGTAGAACCTTCAGGAACATAAGTTCCAGCCAGTATAGCTCGGTTGGGTCATCATGATAAGCAAACCCGACCACCACATCAAGGTAGCAGCTACGGTCGGGACTAGCCTACTTAGGGTTCACGTGACCATCCTAACCATCGGTTAGACGTATATATAGCTTAAAGATCCATCCACTCTTTGTCTACTCCTATAACTCATACTCCTTCCTCCTCCTCCTATGTTTACAAAAACTATTTTAGGCATCGAATTATCAAAAACTTCTAACCGAATTCGAACAACAACTATCAAATATCTGTGCTCAATTCACATCAAAATGTTGTCCTTCATCATCAACATGTTCTATAAATTGGAATCAAATCACTACATCATTGTTGGCATTTGGACCGAATCAAATTGGATCGAATATATTGATTAATCATTTGAATACAGATTATTTCCCATTATTTACTGCATGGGGCAAAAAATTGAATAATCATAACAGTAGTGCCACAATGAAACAATCAAAAAATATGCCTAAGAAATTCTCGAATACTCATGCATTACCAATTATTAGTTATGGTAAAGCATTGTTGCGTGGTTTTCAGCTGGCCACATTGAAAGGACCATTGTGTGCTGAACCGATGTATGGTATTATATTTGTATTAGAAGAAATTATTGCTGAAAATTTGAGTACATTGAAGCTACCAACTAGTCAGGAGAGTAGTAATAATAAACCACAGGAATCTGATATAACAACAGGATCATCATCTTTATTGACATCTTCAAAAATGGATGAAAAAACGACTACTGACAGTCACTTGTTACGACGTCATCAATGTAAACGGAAATCTAAACGTTTAACATCAATTTCATGGTTAGATGATAATGTAGATGATGATGATGGCGGAGGTGGGGATAATGATGAACTTGAGAATTCCTCTCGTTGTAGTAGTGGCAGTAGCAATTCGGAAGATGATGATATTGATCATGAAGCGGAACACAATTGGTATTCAGATGATTCTTCACAAGATGATGAAGACAATCAATCGGATCGTTTGTCGGATGTGGAAAATTCGAATGTAGGAACTGTTTCACAGGTAATATACAATCTCTCTCTTTTTTTGTTCATTCTTGAATTTCTCTAAAATGTAATTCATTCTAACAGGAGTACCTGTTAGAATGTGAATGAATGAATGAATGACATGGCTCAAAACCGTTTGCATTGGCGTCGGTGCATTTATTCTTTGTGTTCTCTATTAAATCCTAATCTTCTGGATTCTTCAACATCTCTAGTTTTTTTGACTTTCTAAACTTTTCTCACTGGATCATACTTCTTGAATAATATCTTCTAATCCTAACCTTTCCGATTACTGCTAATACTATTGGATTTGAATTGACAATTATAGCTCTGTGCTAATGTGGTATGGCAACATGAACTGATATACTTACGTACCAAGTTCTACGTTGCATCTGACTGACTGAACAGGAGTACCTTTTAAAAGGGTGGTATTTATAGTATTTGATCACCTGTGTTGAGATCGTTGAGTGAGTCAATGCTAGATTCCGGACACTAAGTAAGACTTGGTGATATGAATCTTCATCAACTGAGGTGGTTGGAACTCGCATAACTGGATTCACAGTGTTTAGTGGTGTCAGTCAAATAGAACGTAGAACTTCGTACGTAAGTACATCAGTTCATGTTGCCATATCAGATTAGCACAGAGATGTGGTTGTCAATTCAAATCCAATAGTAATAGAGGTAATAAAGGTATTAGAAGTAATCAGAGAGGTTAGGATTAGAAGATATTATTCAAGAAGTATGATTCAGTGAGATAAGTTTAGAAAGACAAGTTTAGTTGTGTAGGAGTTATAGGAGGCAAATATGTACGTAGGATCAATCCATGAAGTTACTGACTATTGAACTAACTGAATGGTGTTGATCGGTGCAAACTCTCTGCTTAGGATCCTTGAGATTGCATTACACAACCATAATTGACTCAGAATTGGTCTCAATGGCGTTGAGAGACTAACTGTTTATCTTACAATTTTCCATTCCATAAATTCGTCATTCCTTAATCGTTTCTGTTACTACTGATACTTTTACTACTACTCCCTTTATCGAACTTTCTCTCCCTTTGCTGATATGTTGCAGTTACTGAAATCAGTACATATATGTTCCAGGTTTTAGAATGCTGATAGTGTTAGTTGACTGTCAGACTGAAAACATGATGAAAATAAATCAGCTTCAGTGAAATAGACGAACATAATTGAATGTTAACCAGTGGAAAGGAATTTCGAAAACCATATTATTAAAAATTTCATAAACTTTTACACTTGCTTGTGTCAGTCAAGTTAAATCGTATCAGTGAGAGTCAGAAAATATCATTTTCGCTAATATTTGAAGGTATTGATTCACACTCATTGATCAGTTTCATCGCTCACTCTGACTGACTTAACAAGTTTTGAGTCATACCTCTGTAAGGCTTCATTTTCGGGTTTCGAACCTTCGCCTTGCTGATTGTAAACTGAGTGTTATAATCATCAAACAAACTGCTTCATACATGATTGTAAATAAAATTTAAGCTTCAAAATATTGGTTCTGTAATTCAATAAGTTGAGTTTTTCATTTCATCTTGTCCGCTATACTCTCTTTCTGTGTGTTTACTTTCATACTTTGATGACGCTGTCTTTTCCCTAGAACCATCTCGAAACGGAGACCTGTTTTGATACAACAAAAGAAATTCCTTTTTGGCAACGACGATCTGACATGTCATGGTTACATGATATTCCCCCAGGACTTTTAACACCAGCTATGACACGAGCATGTATAGCTGCATTTCAATCTTGTCCATGTCAACGTTTAATGATTGCTGTATATGACTTGGAATTGCAAGTATGTTTAATTGATTATATATATCGAACTGTTTTTGATTCAGAGCTCAATAAGTCGATCAAAGAGGGCCTAGTCACTGCTTCCTCACCACACCGGGCTGTTGTTCATGAAACTAGGAGGACAGGAAGAGATTGTTTGGCACTTAAACTGATAGAGTGGATACAGAGGATCTGCCTAGGGTAGTTTGGGGACCCTAGTGCACATGGACTCCAGGATCCTAGGGTAATAAATGGCGCATGAACCCTAGTCTCCAGCTACATTGACACTGCATCTTCTAACATTGCCCCACTGCCTTGTGGATTAGACGTATATGTAAAAGGCTCGGAGATTAACCCTCTAAGTAAACCAACTTTGGTCTAGATAACAGGACATTATCCCATCCCACCTTCGACTGTAGCTGATACTTTGACGTGCTACTCGGATTTGTTTATTGTGATGACTCAACGAAGCTATATTGGCGGCAACATATGTTCCTTTAGGTCCTACTATGCCATGCACGTGAATTGGACAACGGTAGGATTCTAAGCAGCAACTCTAGGTCCGAGGGCGAAGTCATACTGCTGTCTGTAGAGCGGTGTGTTATCAGTAAGGTGTTTCCCTCGGATAACAAGCTTCTGCAGCGATGCTGCCTTCTCACAAGGAAGGAAGGGGTTAGAAAATGTCGACCCAAAAAATGCCACATCTCACCTTACCCTATGGATTTCCGTCTGCGGCGATAAGGCCTTTTAAACAAAAGCGGAGCTAACATTTTGAAGCTTCCCATAAAATGGTCGCGCGTGACAAGCCTCAAGCAGTTGTGCGTTGAGCTCTTTGGTCACTCTAATCCGATTTCCCTTCTAGGTTCTTCAAGAAACGGCATTCCACGGTGTGTGCAGCCGAGAAAGAACATCCGCCATCATACCCGTAACTGCACACGAGATCAGCCCATAACTATTTCGATGCCTCTTTGTACCAAAGTTTATGTGTTTTCATAGATAAATCAATAAACTTCAGTAGTAAGAAACATACATTAATACTAAATTTAAATATTAGTTTAGTTCAAATAACTCGATAATTTGGTCTTTGATCTTCATTTTCAATACTAATAAAAAGTTGATTCACTCTTTGTTTTTTCCAGGCTCGAAGTGATGTTTTAGGACGTATGTTTGGTGTTCTACGCAGACGATATGGTCGAGTTGTCGGTGAAGATTTTAGAGAAGGTGAAAATACATTTGTTATCAATGCTAGACTACCTGTCATTGAAAGTTTCGGTCTGGCAGATGAAATACGTAAACGTACCAGTGGTATTGTTAGTCTTCCACAATTACGTCTTGGTGGTTGGGAATTACTAGATATTGATCCGTTACAAAAAGACACTACTTCCACAGATATGAAAGATCCGTTCAATGAATCATTCCGTACTAAAACAGGTGGAGGATCTACCAAACTATTTCGATCGAAACCAACTCATTCAAATTTTCATGATGCTGTTGTCGGTGATGATGGTTGTGGAGCAGCAGCAGCAGCTGGTGAACATGCAAATGAAGAGTCTTCTACAAGTCAAATTTCTCGAGTACAACGTTATATTCGTGAAGTACGACTACGTAAAGGTTTACCATTAAATGAACAACTTGTACTGAATGCGGATAAACAAAGAACATTGAAAAAAAATAAATAGTGCAGTGTTATTGTATTTAGTAAAAAAAAATGTTTATCAATTGTAAAATTAACTTGTAAATTTCCTCGCTTGTGTATTGTATATTTTTTGCCTAATTAATAATATTAGGCTTAATTTGTTTTTTTGGCCTTTTTTGTTTTTTGTGAAATAAACTTTGATTTCTGCGAAAATCAACATTTTTCTATTGATCAGAATGGAAATTGTAATTTACTGAATGCTATATTATATATATTGTATTAGCTATATATATATACATATCTATCTATTGAATGACAAAATTTGAATCTTATATTTGTATATGTTCAAGGGTTGTTTTGATGTACAGACTAAAAACATTATTGCTTGTCATATACGATAGTTCTGGTTTTTGTAGATCAACTAATTTTTCAATGAAATCATGAATTAGTCATTGTTAGAACTTAGGTTGGTCAAAGTTAGGCATTAGCACTGTTGGATGCGTTAGGGGGTGAGACCGGAGGTTTTGAGTTTCATTTCCGCTAGTGGGTGTCGTGGATCAGTAGTAGAAGTAATAGCAGTAATGGAGAAGATTAGGGAGCGAAGATATGATTCAAGAAGTATAATTCAGTGAGATAAATTTAGAAGGAGAAAGATGGAGATGATGAGGAATTCAGAAGGTTAGAATTAGAGAGAAGACAAACAGTGGATGCACCTACGCCATTGCAAACGATTCTGAGCCATATCGTTCAAGGTCTCTAGCCATTGGTGACTTTCGTCTCGTGGATCCCAACCAAGTAGCGTACATCTACGAACATGACTCAGTTCAGTTGTCAGTGACTTGATGAATTTGTGCCATGTTTTGGTTTGGCCGCCCCTAACTTTCTTCCAACCTACTCCTACACCACAAAACATCGCCTATCGTGGCAGTCGGTGGTTAGGCATACGTAACATGTCCCAGTCACCTCAACTGCTGACGTTTCACTACTTCATCTATTGACTTGCCATGCCTGTCATGGATGCGTACTGCTGAAGAGTCTCATATTAGGAGGGGACGGCCTTCCAGTGCTTTCAGGTTTCTAATGGTTGTCTGACAATCCGTGATTCATGATTTCAATGCAAAACAACATTCTCCATAACTGTAATGAGAATTTCTATATTTTTTTTTAAAGTTTAGTTCATGTTTTATTGCTAACTCTAGTCTAAACTGTTTAGCTCGAATCTGGCTATTTTCGAATTCATACAGGGATAGCTTGTCATGACTAATTAAAGTTACCCAAGTAGACACCAGACAGTTGGAAGTAGTTCGAGTAAATTCGTGTCACGTACAATTGACAATCGTTGTAGTTAATTTATGTTTAAACCTTTTTTTTGCCTGCTGTCACATCAATATAAGTCGATTTGAAAGTTACATGTATGTATGTATCTTGATTAATCCTATAGAAATTTGTCAGTCAGCCTATGCATAGTTTGTGTACTAACCATGTTTCAGTTAATAAAACTAAGTTTAATAGAAAAGCACCTTCTAAAAGAATTCGGCATGTAAACCTTTCCAGATGAAATATCATTGATCCTAATGAAGTCTAAATTTAGATCTACAGCGCTAAGTGTTCAATTAGTAGATTGCACACTCAATCCTTCACTCTATCAACTTTTGTCCGAGTTACCGGGTTATATATTACTAACCCTCTCACAAAGTAGTATGGTTCAAAACCAAATAAATAATCTTGTACTTGATACCTAAGTGATATTTTGTTATTAATACAGTCAACATCTTTAATGTTTAACCGTATTGTCTGTTACTCTTTGAAGTTCAGAGCTGAACATACTCATTGATTATAAATTAAAACCTCAGGTTAACAATATCTTACATCTTAATCAAGGTTTCTAGTATGTTTCTAGTCATAATTCGATCAAATTAAATGGTTGGGTGACTTGTTATTTCTTGTCTGTTTACTAATAAGTCATATTGTGTATATTTCTTAATCAGGCAAGCTTTAATACAAGTCCACTTACTAGTCTTCAAATGAGTTAACTAATTACCAATTTGATTAGAAATAGTACTTTGGAAATTACAGCAAAAGTCGTTAATTTTTGTCGATTGATTTTAGGTCTTCAAATTATCGTCATTTGCTTATCACTAATGGACGATCTAGCACAAGCATGCATCGGATCCAGGTGCCCAATAATTGATGGCTTCCATTTGTTTGATCTATGGAACTAACTCTAAAATCTCAATCTCTTTCCCGCCTTTACATTCATCAAGATCCTGTACGAGTGTGTAGATAGTCTTCTGCTTGTAGACTAGAAAACTAACTAGTCCTCTGTGTGATGCTATTCATGAAAATAAGATTGTCACTCTTTAGGGTTAGGGATTGTTGAGTTTCATTGAGATCATGAACCGATCAATGCTAGAGAAACAATTCGAAAAGTGGAAGCACTAATTAGCCGTCTCGTCCCAATATGGTACTACTCCTCGACAGTGCGCGTCCACGATGCTTGTACCCGGAGACCGAGTCTGGGACCTTCGATCTCGCATAGGAATGCTTATTTAATTCATATCTTTGAATTTAAGAAGTTTACTGGGGTGAGTAGTAATTATGACATCATTTTTCAAATAAATTCATAGTGATAAATGTATACTGTACTGGCGAGTTAGATTTAAGAACGCAACTACTGGATTTTCTCTCAACATTCAAAAGGTTGTGGTGCAAATCGCAGTTTACTAAGATCAGTACAGTCCAATTACATGCCCGTCACCTAGAGAAAATATATTTTCTAGCGATTTCGTGGTATCGAAAGAATACCGAAATCGCGCCAGAAAAGTGGGGTGAAATTACAGAGACACTGGAGCCAAAATGGCAGCTTCACAAACAGAAAGTTTACGCGTACACAGTGAAATAGACAAAAAGTACGGTAAAACAATCACTGGTACAATCGGTCATAATAATGAGTGTTTGTACTAGTTTGTACTATATACTGTATATATACTATATACTGTACTATATACTACGCCTAAACGTAAACACTTTACATTCTAACCGTAAATCTTAATTCTAAGCCAAAATCGAGCTTTCAAATGCTAACTAGAATTCATCATATTTCTGCGTTTTCATGCAACTGCATTCTGACTGGCTACCAGTGACCTTACTTTTCAAGGTCATTTTAGAGCCAATCAGGCTCGTCCGCATGGTTTACCCATAAGTCAGTCAGTCAGTTGCAACGTAGAACTTCATACGTAAGTACATCAGTTCATGTCGCCATACCACATCAGCACAGAGATGTAATTGTCAATTCAAATCTAATAGTAGAAGAGGTAGTAAAGGTATTAGAAGTAATCGGAGAGGTTAGGATTAGAAGATATTATTCACGAAGTATGATTCAATGAGAAAAGTTTAGGAAGTCGAAACTAGAGATGTTGAAGAATCCAGAAGATTAGGATTTGAGAGAACACAAAGAATAAATGCACTGGAGCCATTGCGAACGATTTTGAGCCATGTCATTCAACGTCTCTAGCCATCGATTATTATCATCTCGCGGACCCCAACCAGGTAGCCTACATCTACGAACATGACTCAGTCCACTAGTCAATGACTTCATGGATTTCTGCCATGTTTTGGTTTGGCCACCCCTAGCTCTCTTCCAACCTATTCCTACACTACAAAACAAAGCTCGTCGAGGCAGTCGGTGGTTGGGCATACGCAACACATGTCCCAACCACCTCAACTGACGAAGTTTCACCACTTCATCTATTCATCTGTCATCCTTACCTAGTACTCGTTTCCTAACGACAGCATTGCTCACTCGGTTGTCCCACGATATACGAGCAATGCTTCGAAGACACCTATGATCGAAAACCAGTAACCTACAATATCTTCTACTCTCACTGGCCATGTTTCACAGCCATAAAGTAAGACGGAGCGAACCACTGCGCAGTACACTCGTCCTTTAGTCAGCAAACGGATATCTCGCCTACGCCATAAGTGACTCAGGTTGGCAAAAGCCAATCGAGCCTTCTGTATCCGTGCTGAGATTTCGTCAGTCACCAGGCCATCGGCACTGATGAGACTCCCAAGATAAGTGAAGCGGTCTACACGTTCGACTACTTCACTCCCTATCACTAGTTCAGGTGCCGATGCGACCCAATCTAGAAGCAACATTTTGCATTTCGAGGGTGAGAACCGCATCCCGAACATGCTTGCATTGTTGCTTAGGGTAGTCAGAAGACTGTGCATTTTGTTAGCATCTTCACCAAGTAGGACAATGTCATCGGCATATTCTAAGTCAATAAGCGAGCCACCTGGTAGGTCTACTCCTGAAAATTCAGACGACGATAAGGATATTTCTAAGAGCATGTCTATGAAAAAATTAAACAAAAATGGAGAAAGTGGACATCCCTGACGGACACCACTTGAGGTAGAGAATTCCGGTGACAGTTCGCCATATGCTCTCACCCGACCAGTGGTGTTCGAGTAAAGAGCTTGTATAAGGTTAATGTACTTCTTTGGTACACCTTTCAATGACAGACACTGCCACACAACCTCACGATCCACTGAGTCAAATGCCGCCTTAAGGTCTAGGAAAACAACTATTGTAGGACGCCTAAATGTGTGTCTGTGTTCCAGGACCTGTCGTAGTGTGAAGATGTGGTCTATACAACCACGTCCAGGTCGGAAACCAGTCTGGTTTTCTCTAGTCTGCTCTTCACGAGCTTTCGTTAAGCGTCCAAGTATTATTGGGGCCAATATTTTAGATACTATATTAGTTAGACTTATTCCTCTGTGATTGTCACAAGAAGACTTTTGTCCTTTCTTATAGATTGGGACAATCAGTGATTGAGACCAGTCGGATGGGATTGCGTCCAGTTCCCAGATTCTACCTAAGATCTCAGTCAACCTAGCTGCTAAAACTGAACCACCATCCTTAAATATCTCAGGGGTCAGTCTATCAGGACCTGCAGCTCGTCCTCGTTTCAGATTTCCTAACGCTTTCTCAGCGTCATTAAGACTAGCGGGACTTAGGTCGATTTGCCATTCAGGATGACTGGAGATCATGGGTAACCGTAGAGTGGCTCGTGGCCAGTTGAACTGATCCCTAAAGTGTTCTGCCCATCGATCCAGTCTCCTGGATTGAGAATGGATAATAAGACCATCCTTTTCCGAGATAGTCTCACTCACATTCGGGTTCTTAATACCAGTTTCTTTAATAAGGCGAAAAAGTTGTCTAGTGTTGCCTATCGCCGCTGCCTTTTCCATCGCTTTTGATTTCGCCACCCACCACTGTTCGCGGTCGTTACGTAGGCTTTTTATAAGTATGCGCCTAAGTTGACTTCGTTCTTCATCATGTTCAGAGCCAGGTGGGATGAGTTTTCGGGCATCCATCAGATCGGTGGATGCTACTGAGATCCACGGTTTCATTCTAGCCTTATGGTCAACCTTACTAGCAGATATCACTGCTGTTTCCACAGCCTTTTTGATATCATACCAACCTGCTTCTGAATGGGGATCGCTTGCATGGTTGCTTAACTCTCTTTCTAGTTGCTCCTGAAATATTTTGTTGGTTTGATTATGATTAAGTAAAACCCTAAGAGGCTTTCTTACGGTGTCTTTCCTACGCCCAGTAAGCTTCAAACAAATACGCGCTCGCACTAGGGCATGATCTGAATCTAGGCATGTGCCCCAGAACGAGCGACAGTCCTCTATCAAACCCCTCCATCGGTGGCTGATGGCGATGTGATCTAGTTGAGTTCAACGTTGAGACGACTTCGGGGGTCGCCAGGTCAGCAGATGCTTTTCCTTATGCCTAAAGTTGGTGTTCGATAAGAATAGGCGGTTATCTGAGCATAGTTGCAACAGACGGTCGCGATTGTCTGTTCTCTCAGTCGCTACACCATAACATCCACCAAGATGTCTTTCCTTTTCACCTAGTCTACCTACTTGAGCATTAAAGTCACCAGCCATTATTACTATATCAGAGCGCCTAGCCTTTTGGAGGAGGTCCGAAAGCTTTCTGTAAAACTCATCTTCAACCTCGTCTGCACTGCAGTCAGTGGGGGCATAGGCAGATATGACGAAGAGGCAACGGCGAGTGTCCCTGTCTTTCCGAGTCCTTACTGTCCCGTTTAGTCGGACAGCGCACAAACGACTATCTACTGGGATTCAGTCAAGGAGAGATAATTCTGCCCTAGGACTTAACGCTATGCCTACGCCAGCAAGACCCCTTGAAGCAGCATCAGGGCTACCGGATACACGAAGAGTGAATCGGGCTGCTTCTTCGTTTTGACAAGATGTAATCAGGTTGATGACTTTACTGGGATCCTGTATGCGCGTTTCCGAGACGCAGCATACATCGATGGCACGAGTTTCTAAAGTCCTAGCTAATGATGCCTGTTGCCCTATTTGACACAATGTCCGTACATTAAAAGCTCCAACATGTAGTCTAGAACGGGGTTTCAAGAGACCAGGAACGACGTTTCGTGATCTCGCTTCGTTTGCATTAGCGGTGCAGTGAGAAAAGGGAGTGTGAGTCGAGTTAGTCGTAGAGATAAGAGAGACATTAGGGGGTGTAGGAATGATTTGATTTTGACCAATTCGGTCTCGCGTGCTGTTACGGGTATGAGGGCGGTTGTCACTTCCCGGCTGCCCACACCGTGGAAGGTTGTTTCTTGACGAACCTGAAAAGGAAGATGCATTAGTGTTGGTGCGTGACCGCAGAGCCCAAGGGACAAATGCTTCAGGCCGGTCACACACGGCCTTTTTATGAAAGGTATTTAGAGGATTAGCTCCGTTCTTAAACGCTCTTAGTGGGCACCCTTACCCAGGGAGACGGAAATCCGTGAGTTAGGGGAGGTGTGACATTTTTAGGTTCGACCTTTTCTAACCCTTCCTTCCTTGTGAGAAGGCAGCATCGCTGCAAATGCTGGTTGTCCGAGGGAAACACCTTACTGCTGTCACACCCCTCTGCAGTCAGCAGTACGACTTCGCCCTCAGACCTTGGGTAGCTGCTTTTAGTCTCATCGTTCTCCAATCGACCAGCCTGGCATGGTAGGACCTGCAGGAACATATGTTCCAGCCAGTATAGCTCGGTTGGGTCATCACGATAGGCAAGCCCGACCACCACTTCAAGGTAGCAGCTTCGGTCGGGTTTACCCATAAGATATGTCAAAAAGAGGTTATCGCCCTATTACGTCTATCTGAAAAATCCCTTACGAATTTAAATGCTCCTACTATTCAACAATTATAATTATGAAATATTTTGTGAAAATTCTCATTCTATTGCATAAGAAGAACACATATAAAAAGGTAATTAAAATTATATTCAATAATCAAACAATTCATAATGATGAATTCTATTTTCCGTCTCGAACTTCTCTCATCGCTGACTGCATCATCTATTAGCCCACACAAAATTATTCATAAAATAACAAGAAGCAAGCAAAGAAAATTATTGTGTAACTAAAATTTCTTCAATTAAGGGAACGATTTAGCACAAGAGGGATTAGGTTATTTTATATATGTCATAATAAAATTAACTGAGACATTGCGGGGAAATGAAAATAACATCGCCACAATAACAATAATAATAATAAGTACTAACAGAATTAGTAGGAACAATAGGGTGTGTTTAGAGTTTTGGTGAGAAAACCACCCTCAACAACACATAACATGGTTGTGGTTGTTTCATTCAAACTGTATAATAGAACACACATTGTAAGGGGGTAGGAATATTTTATTGCAAGGGTAATAATAGTGTTTTGTTTTAAACGAATAAGAAAGAGTCGCAAGTAGATTTAAAATATCGTATATATAAATAACAATCATGATGAATAGGTTGTGTCAGCTCTTTCGCATGAGATAAAGACAAAAAGTAGGGCGGGGGCGAGAGAGAGAGAACAATAATTGTGAAGGAAGCAGTAATCAATCGGTCAATTTCAAAGTGAGCGGTACACTTGTGCGTGATTACTACTATATATGTGTAACATGCAAATCTATTCAGTTGACAAGTATTCACATTTGTAAATAGTATTAATAGTAATAATAATAATAATCAGTTTAGATTTTTGACAGGCTAACTACTTTTTATGTAATATTTATTATCTATCTATTGAATAATGAACAGTCTTTTTCTTTGTTTAACTGATTAGCGCCATCTTTAAAGTTGAAGGAAGTCATGCGTAAAGAAAACCAGGAGGAAAAGAATTTCAGAAAAGCCTAGAAATCAAACAATATATATATATATATAATATTATGAAGAGGATAAAAAGCAAAGCACATATTTTTTTTATTGATTGACTGATAAGTATTTTTCCGAAATTCGGTATGTTTTGCAGGATTTTCCTTTTTTCTCTTGCAAACAATTAATTCACCTGACTTTTTTGTATGTGTACTACTTGTAAGTAGTATAAGATGATTAGATTCATGTAAACGAATATTTGTCTGAATTGTATGTTTGTTTGTTCATTCAAAAGCAAAATTCAATAAGCATATATATGTATATATATATGTATATGTATAAAATGTGAATTTTTTTCGTGATTAGTAAGTAGTACTACTACATTCACGGTTGAATTAAGTTGTAATACAAATTAATTGATTTGAAGAGTGAGAAACGAAAACAAACAGAGAAGGAGAAGAGATATTTTAATTTGTTCTTCTTAAATAACATCCACAGTGAATGGACTGCCTGGTACATGTTGTTCACCCCATTTAATCATGATTAGATGACGTCCACGATCACGTACTGTGTAACTAATCGAGTATCGACCATAACCCATATGTTTGATGTTGACTTCTTCACAGGCTACAACTGGTCCAGATACACCGACATACAGCACATCATGACCTGAAATGGATAGAGTTTTGAAAAAAAAGTGTTGTTCATTGAATTATCTTCGGGGGGATTTTATAACACCTCATACCTACCTCATCTACAATAATTAAGCAGCATTTGGAACTCAAAACGACTATCGACCAACACTAAAGTTAGAATATTCAATACAAATGTCAAAATAGTTCTACTGTATAGGGATGGAAACTTGGAGAACTACCAAAGCCATCATCCAGAAGATACAAGTGTTAAATTAACAGTTGTCTACGCAAAATACTTCGTATTCGTTGACCAGACACTATCAGAAACAACCTACTATGGGATAGAACAAACGAGATTCCAGTGGAGAAGGAAATCAGAAAGAAGCGCTGGAAGTGGATAGGACTCACAATGAGGGAAGCACACAACTGCGTCAGGATTCAAGCCCTGACTTGGAACCCATAAGGTAAAAGGAAAAGAGGAAGGTCAAGGAACACATTACGCCAAGAAATAGAGAAAGATATGAGAAGAATGAACAAACATTGGACAAAACTGGGGAGGGAAGCCGAGGACAGGGTTGGTTGGAGGAAACTGGTGAGCCGCCCATGCTACCTTGGGAGTAATAGGAGTAAGTAAATAAGTAAAGAACAGCATCTCACGTAGAGTAGCCTTAATGTTTAGTTGTTTATATGATTCGATAACAGAGTATCGACTTTTTTATATTTGTAATAATTCGATAACCGTATCGATTATCGATTATTTTCTCTACTTCGTTTCGCTTTGCTTGTACACCTTTCATTCACATGTCTGTCTGCCTAAATGAACGCATGAAGTGAATTCATTTGCACAACCGTATTTCGCTTCTTATTGCCGCCGTTGCACAGATTGGGTTCACCCTAAGTATGATATACGGAAACAGAAAAGAAAGATTTATTTCATTGCATATTCGATCATTCGCCCAAATTGTAGTCAAGTCACATCATCGATGTGTGCACTGTCGGATGTTGTTTAGGCAATTTCGTGAATTGTTTGGAGTAAGAAAGATAAACCGTCCAAATTCAGCTCTGCTCCAGCTACTTCGCATCGGGCAACGCAGTGATGCCACCAGACATTAAACTTAAAGTATGCCTCACACCAAAAGTCAAGTATTCTACATTGCCTCGACTTTGATCTCTCGTGGGATGGTAGATACATACCATACTAGAGTGAAATAGCTATCCAGTGCTTCCTGATCTTTACTACTTGTATAACTCAAGTTAGTTAGTAGTATAAACTATATAACTCAATAATTTCCAAAATTCAAATGACATTTGCTTGATAAACAATCAAAAAATTACCTGCTTGTGATGCATTCACTGTAAATGTATTCGTTTCATTAAGATATGCTTGTTGTAATCCTGGTCCAGAGCATGTAACACGATCTGGTCTAGATGGACCAAAATTAGCATGTGGTCCATTCACTAAACGTCCACCTGTTTCTACTACAACATGTGTTGTATCGGCTGTGATTGTTTCATGTACAGCATCTCCAGTAACAATTGCCTATTTGATGAATAAAAGGACAAAAAGTTTGTTAATACAGAAAGTATGAAAATGTTGAATAATAATTTTGAAGTTTTATTACAGGAATCTGGTGGGAGAGAACAAAACAGATCCCCGTGGACGAGGAAATCGGTAAGAAATAGTGGAAGTGGATAGAACACACTACAGAAAGCACCTAACTGCATCACAAGACAAGCCCTCACTTGAAATCCTCATGGCCAAAGGAAAAGAGGAAGGCCAAGAAACACTACAACGAGAACTAGAGAAAGACTTAACATGAAGAATGAACAAAAATTGGACAAAACTGGAAAGGGAAGTGTTAAGATATTCATTCAATATCCTAAGAGAATTATTGGTCGATTCCTATTGGTTAGTTCCTACTGGTCAATTTAAGGTCGTCCTAGATATCACTGTCACGTGCTTCAATGTTGTTTCTTATTGGTTGTCCTGACGATCAATGTCACTTCAAATGTTGTTTCCTATCGGTCGTTTTAACTTTCAATGTCTCAAACTTCGATGATGTTTCCTATTCGACCTAAATGTATAAATACGCATTATGTGTAACGTTTTATGACCAGGACCCGGACCCGGTCCCGGTCCCGGATCCCTAGTCCGGGATCCTGATTCTCTTCTGGATTCGGACCTCGTACTTTCTTGATGCTTGTAGAATACACGTTCTACTTCACATCATGTCTTCTTATATTTTAATCAATATGGGGGTTGGGATAATCGCATTTTAGTAGCATGTCGTGTCACCGGATCCTCGATCCTCGCTCTCGGTTTCCGACTAAGGTAAACTCGTAATAGTTCAAGCATCTCAAAATGACGTGTTTACGTTCATGCGTAACCATAATCCTTTTATTACTCAACTCTACAAATAGTCGTAGCTGAACACTTTTTTTTGTCGAGCGATAAAAAGATGGGATATGGTTATGTACTCAGCCAATCTGAAATCTTTTATCTAATCAAAAAAAACTTACTTTATATGGTGAACCTATAATATGTTGTGAATCACCATATTTAATACTGATCAGATATTCACCAGGTGATAATGGTAAATAAGTAAAATCATATCCATCTGATCGTTCAGTACAATTTAATTGAACTTTACTCGGACCATCTACAGTAACTGATAAAGCACCACTTCCAGCTTGGACAGTGTTCACGAAAAATCGATTACGTTCACCTGCGAATGAAAAAGTAAGAGAAATAACATTAAACTGATGGATAGACGGATAGCTAGGTTTGATACGATCATAATTGAGCGTTTTAATAATTCGAGGAAGCTTGCATAAAATTCATTTTTGTTCATGGAAAACGAGTTAACCTGAAAATCTCTTCGCCTTATCTCAATTTAATATAAATATATAAAATGCTATTAGTCACAGAAATAGTCTTCACTGTATCATCTAGTTCTTTGTGTAGAATCAGCTGGAAGAAGTATTTAACGTCTGACTTAGAGACTAGTATATTCCTTAGAAAACTAGTGACAGTTAAAATTAGGAAAATAAAAACTTAGTGTAGAGTATTTCTTGAAGCTTAACTGGTACCAAAATTTTGTTTTATATATGAGTAAATAGAATAAATCTAAGCTAATGAGAGTCTACAATCAGATTATAATACTTCGTGAAACTTTAATTTCTTAAATTTGCGTCTGAAGGTTTATTCCATTCTGATGAAGAACCTGGCGAGTATTTTTTTTAGGTGAAAAAAACCATGCTACTTATTGTTTGTAAGTAAGGTAAATATATTTCTAAAATATTATGGTTAATTTGTGTTGGCTCGGGATTTCGATAAAATACTATAATCAGTTAAGCAGTTGTAAAGTCATCTTTCAAACAAGAATCAGTTTTTAACCATAGAACTCTAAGTACGTATTAATTGTTAAGAAAAGAATATAGTTAACTTACCAACTCGTCCATGAGTTAAACCCTCTCCACTAGCTGTAACACGACCAGTTTCTTCTTGTCCAACTAATACACGGAATGGACTTCCAGGTATTGGGCGTTCATCCATTAACACATGCACCGAATGTGCTCCATTTTCATGAGGTGTAAATCGTACTGCATGTTGATCAACATCCACTTGATGTACAACTGCATCTGTTTGTATTCCAGATGGAGCTACTACATATGCTCTCATTCTACCTGTCATTCCTGAGTAATTAACAGTGAATGCAGTTGGACGTCCAATCTAAGAACAATACAGAGCAAGCAACAATATAGTAAACAGTTGAAAAATTCCAAATTGATTTCATCAATAATATCCCAAATTAATCAATAGGAGATCTTTAGAACTAGAAGAAAAACGGTTAAAGATGTCGTAGATATTCAGTGCTTGACAACGCTACTATCTGTGACCTTTCAATAATTGAGAATCCCAAACCCAAACAAGCCAGAATTCAGTAATGAGGGGGTTCAAAAAATATATTTTGGAGATGGCTGATGTGCTGAGAAGCCCATGATCTAAGCAGTACGGAGTACCCCATCCTGATCTGGTGCAGATGTTTCACCGAGCACTTTCAGCTAGTCAGTCAGCTACTTCGTACGTACATACATCGGTTCAAGCTACCATATACTACATTAGCACAGAACTGAGCACCTTAAACTAGGGTGTATCCATTAAAATTATTGAGGTCAGCATCAGAACTATTTATTTTGCGGATTTATTTACTGCTTGAAGGTTACTCTTTATTGTTAATACTCATACATTTCAAGATGCATCAAAAGGAAATATTTTACACCAGTTCTCCTTCTGAGGTTCCGGTGATTATGACATGTCTATTCCATTTTTTGTCGATACATTGATTAGCCTGTTTTTTAAGGCTACCAATCTATCACTGGAAAATATATTCTTAATTTCAGCCACAGCGAACTGTGTGTTTAAACATCAGATGTTAATTTTAGATGTAATAGGTATTTACATTCAACTAAATTATCAAAAAAACAGGGTTTGAAATTATAAAAATAAATTGAAAAGACTTTGATATCATGGTATGGATTATGGTTTTCCGACACTACATGTAATAATCTTAATTGTATTGCAAAGGGTTTGTTTTATGATTACTAATGTTAATTAGACTATAAGTATAGCCTTTATTGAAGTACCAGAATAAACTACCCTTCTTAGCTTTTCGGAGAAGGTCTATATAGTCTTTTCTCAATATTGCACGTTATTATCGTCATACTAATCATGTTCAACTGTACCAGGAGTGAGATGTTTATCTACTAAAGATAATGGGGGACTATTCCATTATGGTGTGAATTGTTCGTAGTTGAATATACAAACCATCAAGTCTCATTATTCATAAGACATAAAATTCCTGGGTTCCACCCCAAGTGGGTTAGTGGATTGACATTTATTTGTATTCCCATACTAAGATAAACAACTGTTCATTACTTCCTGGTTCTCAATAGTTCCCCAGCTTAGATCGGTCCATAATCTTAAAAACATTCAAAAGACATGTTTGATACACTGATAACAAATATTTAAATGTCTTTTTTTCCACAACAAGGGTCAATATTATTCAGTCAAGAGATTAACGGAATGTTAATGTTACATTTCAACTCTTCATATTTTTATGTAACAAAATAATTATACTGTGGCGCCTAAAAACATCTTATTGTTGAACTATATAACGATAGCAGCGACATCAAACGGATAAATATTTCCATATGTTGGTATATTTTACATGATGAGTATACTTAGAATGAGAAACAAGTAATGTATTGTTTCTTTATACAAATTCTTGAATGAATAGATATGAAGAAATAAGTTAAAATTTGAAAGATTCCTAATGTTAAAGACGTGACCAGTGGAGTTCAACCCTGTAGGGTGTAGGCAGTAACTACCGAACACAGTGGATATGTTTGCGCAAAATCCTTAGATTGATCGGACCTAGATATTCACACAGTTGAACCCGACCGTACCTGCTACCTTGATGTGGTGGTCCGGCTTGCCTATCGTGATGACCCAACCGAGCTATGCTGCCTGGAACATATGTTCCTGCAGGTCCTACCATGCCAGGCAGGTCGACTGGAGAACGATGAAACTAAAAACAGCTACTCAAGGTCTGAGGGCGAAGTCGTACTGCTGAATGCAGAGGGGTGTGACAGCAGTAAGGTGTTTCCCTCGGACAACCAGCATCTGCAGCGATGCTGCCTTCTCACAAGGAAGGAAGGGTTAGAAAAGGTCGACCCTAAAAATGTCACACCTCCCCTAACTCACGGATTTCCGTCTCCGTCGGTAAGGGTGCCCACTAAGAGCGTTTAAGAACGGAGCTAATCCTCTAAATACCTTTCATAAAAAGGCCGTGCGTGACAGGCCTCAAGCAGTTGTCCCTTAGGCTCTGCAGTCACGCTTCCAGGTCTCCAAGACCAACGCTAATCTATCTTCCTTTTCAGGTCCCTCAAGAAACAACCTTCCACTGTGTGGGCAGCCGGGAAGTGACAACCGCCCTCATACCCGTACCACACGAGACCAAATTGATCAAAATCAAATCCTTCCTACACCCACACACAGTTGGATACCGGCTTATTGGTTCACAGTTTAAACGTTCACGAGGAGGACCGAAGGTCCTGTGTTCGATTCCTGCGAGCATCAGGAGTCGTGGGTGCGTACTGCTGATGAGTCTCATACCAGGACGAAACGGTAGTCCAGAGCTTTCAGGTTTCTAATGGTGGTCTAACAACGGTTGATTCATGATTCAAGTAATGATTAGTATCATTTATCTTTGCAAAAACAAAATACCGTTTTTAGTGAAAAAATAATGTAGTTTTTCCTTATTGCTTACCGATAGACCACGATCTTGAATACTTGTAACATTTAATAATTTTGTTTCAGGTGTATAAAATGTTCGTTCCATTGCTTCATTAATGATAACACGAAATGGTGAATTAGGAATATGATCATCATTGAAACGAATCGAACATAAATATTCACCTGGTTCAGTGACACGATAAGAAACTCCACATGAACCATCTTTTCTATCCTTTAAATAAGTAAGAATGTACAGAAAAAAAATGTACAATTCAGAAAATAATTCTAAACAGTACTTAAAAATGTTTCTGTCATATGTAAATCGACTGAAATGAAACACGTTCACTATTGAATACCTTGCTTAGTGGTGTAGAAGTTAGGAGTTCGTGTGCAAGACCGAAGGTCTTTGGTGAGATTCTTTGTGGTGAGATATTGAATCCACATAACTGTCTACAGTACTCTGTTTTTCAATAGTGGCCTAACAAAGTCCCGTTTATGATGTAAAATTGATGAGATACTGAATGATTAGGACTTACTGTCAAGTTTTAATTGGCCAGAGATTGAGTGACCTATAAAACGTATTTCCTCCAATCGTCTATTAAAAGTTATCGTGTTTATTTTCTGTACTTGTATATATATTTTTTTTGAAACCATGAATCGATCAATGTTAGACCAACATTAGAAACCTGGAAGCACTGGGCGGCCGTTTCGTCCTGGTATGGGACTCCTCAGCAGTGCGCATCCACGACTCCTGCACCCCGCAGGATTCGAACACAGGACCTTCGGTAATGTGCGCGAACGCCCTAACCGTTATAAATATATATATATATATATATATATATATATTCTATTACTCTGGTTAGTGCTCACTGATTTCTCATCATTCGGAAGCCTAAGTTCATTATAGTTTGGTCATGTGAGCAACTATCACTAACACAAATTATATCACTCCATTCATCTATCGATTGATTTTGACAATCGACAAGCATGTTTAACACAACACAAAAAAGGGGTTAAGTTAGCCTAAAGTCAGCTTCGTTTTGCTTTTCCGCCTTTTATACTCATGTCTAAATGCATGAAGAAATGCATGAGATAAACTCATTCAACTGAATCCGTATTTGGCTTATAATTACCTCCGTCGCACAAATTGGGGTTCGCCTAAGTACGGGAATCGAAGGGAAGATTTACTTTAACCCAGACTAGCATTCGTCCAAATTGGAGTCAGATCACGGGACACTAAAGGCCACTTAGAAATTATATTATCATAGTATAGGTCAGTTTGTGATAACCTTAGATTATTGTAAATATGTATATCCAATCAAACGTTTATAGACTTGTTGGGAACGTTAGATCCCCAGAACTCGCTTGATAAATGCCTTCCTTAATTTGGATTTTACGTTTCCGAACATGGGCTGATCAGTTGACTTTGAGATTTCATTTCCCATCAGGATTTCCGGTGGGCACTTTTGCTCCGGGAACAACTCATTTGGTGTTGTTCGATAGAAGTACAAGAAATTTTGTAACGCGTCAGCTGGTGTCCAAAAGGAATATTTTGTTTTGATATTTATTGATGAAACATACTTGACAACTTGAATGGGCGCGTAAAATATAACTCTTTTTCTTTACAACTTATTGATTAGTGAGTATTATATCAAATCCTTCTAAGTGCTGACTGATCTTTATCGATTAAGTTACAAATAGGCCGACTAGTCTAAGTGATTCAGCGTCTTACACTCACTGATCACATCTTTGACTCAGAAACTAGGTGATGTATCATCCAATCATCCTGCTTAAGATGAATATACAAGTACGCTTTGAGATAGTTGAGAAAATTTGTAACTCAGGTGGATGATTGTGGTGAAGTTTCATTCTCTGATCTGGAAGATGTTGTTCAGAAGACGAACAATGACGGCTTCATAACCGAAAACATTCAGCTCAGAGTATGAAACTCCATCACAAACAAGTATACTTTGCTGACGAATGCTAAATAGCATAACACCGAGATTGAGGATTTCCTGTAAACTACTTTCAACCATCATATATAACAAATTATCTAGATTTCATTAAATATAGAAATTGCTTGAAATAAATAAAATGGAAATCACGGGAAGAATAGACAGGTTTAGATAATAGTTTCATTGATCCAAAAATCAATATCCAAATATGATGATTAAGCTCCTAATTTATTCTACTTTGTATCAGTTAGTCAGTCAGATGCAATGTAGAACTTCGTACGTAAGTACATCAGTTCATGTTGCCTTACCTTATCAGCACAGAGATGTAATTGTCAATACAAATCCAATAGTAGAAGAGGTAGTGAAAGTATTAGGAGTAATCGGAGAGGTTAGGATTAGAAGATACTATTCAAGAAGTATGATTTAATGAGAAAAGTTTAGAAAGTCAAAACTAGAGGTGTTGAAGAATCCAGAATATTAGGATTTGAGAGAACACAAAGAATAAATGCACCGGTGCCATTGCGAACGATTTTGAGCCATGTCATTCAAGGTCTCTAACCATCGATTATTATCATCTCGCGGACCACACCCAGGTAGTCGACAACTACCGACATGGCTAAGTCCACTCGTCAGTGACTTCATGCATTTCTGCCATGTTTTGGTTTGGCCACCCCTAACTTTCTTCCAACCTATTCCTACACCACAAAGCATACGTAACACATGTCCCAACCACATCAACTGATGAAGTTTCACCATTTCATCTATTGATCTGCCATTCTTACCTAGCACCCGTTTCCTAATAACAGCGTTGCTCACTCGGGTGTTCCAGGATATACGAGCAATGCTTCTTAAACATCTATGATCGAAAACCAGTAACCTACTAATATCTTCTACTCTCACTGGCCACGTTTCACAGCCATAAAGTAGGACGGAGCAAAATCATATAATCGAAACGCAGAATAGGATTGACATGAAGACAGCTTTGAAACCATTGTATAGAAATGTTCAAGGACGAAATCGGAGCTTTATAGAAGCCTTGGTTATTCGTAAAAATTCAAACCCTCATTGTATCTGCATAAATAGTTCGTTATAACCTTGAAATTGCCCTGGTCTTGAGTACTGCAACGGATATCATATCTTGATGTAAGCTTTTTTTCCAAATTATTCACTAGTTTGTATACAAAATCAATCATAAATTCAAATTAAACAAAATGTATCATCACACAACTAACTTCGAAATTAATTTCTGCTTTACTTGGTCCTTCAATAGCAATCGACAGACCACCGGCACCAGCTTCACGTGTATAAATACTGAAATCATTTGGTGAATAAGTTAAACCATTTTGTAAACCTTGACCAGCAGCATGTACTTTATGCGCTCCACCTTCTGTAATCGGGCCAACAGTAAATTGGAATGGACTACCTAGAAAAAAAAAAGATGAAAATGAGAATACTGTTAGTGGATGATAAATTAAGGCGTGGTTTCTCAGGTCAGTCTTCTATATGATCGATTCTAATAACCTGAAGCTAAGTCTACACAGCAAGTTGAACATGAAGAACCAGAGTGAAGTTGAAAACCGAAGACAAATGGGTGAGGTCTCGCAAAATCCCGAGATTGTTTAGAGTTAGACATTGACACTGTTGGAAGCGGGTTACCCAGTGGTCCGATGGTTTAGGCGTTCACGCGCTAAACCGAATGTCCCGGGTTCGAATCCTGTGAGGTGCAGGAGTTGTGGATGCGCACTGTCACTGATGAGTCCCATACCAAGACGAAACGGCCGTCTTTCAGTGCTTCCAGGTTTCTAATGGTGGTCTAACAATGATTGATGGATGATTTTAAATGTGTAAAACAGAAACACAAACCACCAAAACTCTGCCCTAATAAATCAAGAATGTTTTAGAAATACTCCACTTTTTATATGATCTTTTTAGAATTAGATTAATGGTCAGATTTGTAGAAATTGAAATGAATTATATTTAACACGAATAATTCATTCAGTCAGTCAGAACGAGGTTTCAAGAGACCAGGAATGACGTTTCGTGAATTTGCATCGTTTGCATTAGCGGTGCAGTCAGATAAGCGAATGTGAGTTGAGTTAGTTGGGGAAAGAAGAGAGGTATGTGTGGGTGTAGGAATGATTTGATTTCGACCAATTTGATCTCTCGTGCTGTTAGAGGTATGAGGGCGGTTGTCACTTCCCGGCTGCCCACAACGTGGAAGGTTGTTTCTTGAGGGACCTGAAAAGGAAGATAGATTAGTGTTGGTTTTGGAGACCGGGGAGCGTGACCGCAGAGCCCAAGGGACAACTGCTTGAGGCCGGTCACGCTGCTTTTAGTCTCATCGTTCTCCAGTCGACCTGCCTGGGATGGTAGAACCTTCAGGAACATATGTTCCAGCCAATATAGCTCGGTTGGGTCATCACGATAGGCAAGCCCGACCTCCACATCAAGGTAGCAGCTACGGTCGGATCAAATAATTCATGAACTTATTGTTTGAACAGACATTTATTATATTTAAAACAATTGCTCCTTTATATATATATTCTGATAAAACAGTGAGATGTAATTGATCTGAAAATAGGTGATGTATTTGCGTTGTACATTTTGAACAATCTGGCCACACATACACTTATTTGTCAAGGCATTTTATATGAAGATCAATAAAAGGTCAAATAGACATAAGGGCATAATTATAAATGAAGGAGAGAGTGAAAATTAACGTAATATGAAAAGAATAAGAAACGGTGGGAAAATTGTCACATTACCCTAAGCTTAACGATGTATAGCGCAAATACATTACATTTTTCAGAACAATTACGTCTTATCACTGTTCTATCAAAATTTATTATATTATTGAAATCATGAATCAATCATTTTTAGACCATCAGTTGGAACCTAGAAACAACTGTACGCTTGTTTCGTTCTGGTACTGAACTCATCAGTAGTACGCATCCACGACTCCCAATGTATTCGTTAGCTACTGCCTACATTCGACAAGGTTGAGATCCACCAGTGAATTTGAGCGAAAACTTAGATTGATCAGAGTTAGACGTTAACACGGTCGGACATCGCCTCAGTGGTCGAGAGATTAGGCGTCCGCGTGCAAGACCGAAGTTCCTGGGTTCGACTACTGATGATGAGTCCCATACCGCGATGAAACAGCCGTCCAGTGCTTACAGATTCCTAATGCTGGTCTAACCTTGACTAGTTCAGGATTTAAGTAATAAAAAGCCATCTCCATAAATCCAAAATGAAAAAATTTACTATATTATATAATGAAGCATTTATAATCTTTCTTAAGATGTAAAAACATTTTACGCACGATTGGAAAAGAAAATCAATCGACTCAACTATTACTCGACCTATTAGTTTTTATTTTTATTTTTTATACTTACCAGAAATATGTGATCCTCGATGACGTACTGACACTGTGTGTACACCCATTTCTTGTGGTACAAATTTAATGGTATAATTCACATCATCTGTAGCTAAAACATCACATCGTTGAGTTGCACCTGATGGACTAGTTACATTAGCTGTTAAATCACGAATATTTATTCCTGATGTATAGAAAAAAAAATAAAAGGAGATAAATTACGACATAACTAGATTTGATATGAAACATTACATAACATGATTCTCATCATAAGTAGTGTGACTAACTGTACATACACTGTTGATAACTGTGTCTTTGTGATTCTCTACACTGTGTCTCATATGATGGATTGAAGACTTGCAAAATAACGGTTACGATATGGTTTTCCGATTTTTCTGAGTAACTTTGTAATTTTCGTTAAATCCAATTTGGGTGCCCTCACCGGTGTTCTCCTTCACTACAGTGTGACCTTCAGTACATACACTGTTGATATCTGTGCCTTTGTGATTCTACACTGCGTCTCATATACGCTTCTGTATATATATATATATATATATATATATATATGTATTCGTACATTTATCATTTCATTGAAAGTTTATCTCTTTGCTAATGTTGAGGATGTTAGATCCTCAGAACTTGCTTGATAAATATCTTTATTTTGGATTTATTGCATGGCCTGATCAGTTGACCTTGAGATCACATTTCTCAGTAGGAAAATCCTTCGCTGTGATTGGTTACCGTGTCATTTTAGTGTGGTATTTTTGTGATTGTCCCAAGGACGTCTCTATAGAGTATAAATAAACGCAATTTGAGTGCTTGGATTCATTATGTGCTGGCTGGGTGTTTGTAGAATACAATTTCTACGCTATATCAAGACTTCTTGCTGATACAATTGGGATAATCGGATCACATTAGTCTACCTGGACGCTGGTTCATTGTTTTGTTCTCGTTATTCGACTAAAGTGAACACGCAATAGTTTTAAGCATACTTAGAGATGAGCATAACAGCCACATTGTACATTGTCTGTTTTCAGTTATATTATCGCTTACAATGAATATTATTCTGAGAAATGACATCTGTCTGTCCTCTCCGTTTCTTATCGCCATCTGTCTGACAAAATGAATGTGTAAAATATGAACAACTGATACGCTCGTATTCGACTTTTCGTATATCGTTGTTCCATGTTTCGACTACGATTTGATTGTATTGCAGTCAGGCAATGGGTATCTAAACCTTGACTGAAAGCATTTCTATCCACGTCGGTTGATTATTTTTGGTCTTCGTAACAAACATTTGTATTTCCGAATTGTGTAGCAACTTTCAGAGTTCAATTCTCCACTCAAGGTTTCTTGCAATATATTTTTATACTGCACATAAATTCAAATCACATTTCTATTGCTCTTTATATATTTTGTAAATAAGTATGGCTTACTACGGCTCTATATTTTACTAACTAGGTGTTTGATTTCTAAACATTGTCTCACTTAGGAAAGATCGTCCTCACTAATAATCACTTGGTCATCTGACATCATAATAGTCAATCAATAAGGTAGCATTCAACAGATAATATTTCTTCTTTGTAACAAAGTTAAAACATACATATTGTCTCTCTTTTCTAGGGTATTTTAAAATAAACATTACAATTATCACTTGAGGTTTGAATAATTGAAACCGAGAAAAATGGAGGTAAGTATTGATTTAGCGATGTTTTATTTTAAAAACACTTTTATTAATGCTCCATTTTATGGATAACTAGTCTTTTTAAACAAATTTAAATGCAAAATATTGATAATTTAATGTTAAATTATGTTTTAATGAATTAAACATTACTAAGATCAGAAAATGTACAAGGGATAAATAGCTTGATAAATTTTTAAAAAAAATTTCCGATCGATTAGACCTCACTTGGAACCCTCAAGGTCAAAGGAAAAAAAAGAAGACTAAGGAACACATTACGCAGAGAAATGGAGACCGACATGAGAAGAATGAACAACAGTTGGACAAAACTGGAAAGGCAGACCCAAGACAGAGTAGGTCGGAGAATGCTGGTTAGTGGCCTATGCTCCAGTGGGGATAACAAGCTTAAGTACATATAGTGAGAATGGTAAGTAAAGACAATGGTTTATAGTTCCAGAAACCGGTGTTTACCACATCTAGAATAATAAAGTATAACTGTCGTGTAAATCACATTTTCTCAGTCAGTTTTACTCTACTTCATTTTTTGTTATTTGGTTTTAAATCAATTCAATTAAAAAGTATGAAATAGAATTATTGAGAGGTTTTATGATTGAACACTTTGTGAACATGGATCATTTGTTTAGAAAAAAACAGGCTCAGAGTTCAAAATTATCTATCGGATGAATAGAAACTTGTCAATGGCCAGAATAAAAGCAATTTATTAAAACATTTTTACGTCACAAGTTTCCCCAATCTATCACTCTTCTTTATTTCTCCATGTCTACTGATTTTTTCTCTTAAATAATTTCCTTGTTTTTTTTTCAATTATCTACTAAATTACCGTTAAAAATTAATCTTATCCTGTTGCACAATCCTTTCGTAAATTTATTACTTATCAACTTGATAAATACTCGGTTCGCTTGAAAAAAACTATATTTTCAGCTACTTAACAAAAATTATTTTTGGAAATTATGAATCGATCAATGTTAGACCACCATTAGAAGCCTGGAATCACGGGATGGCCGTTTCATTTTGGTATGGAACTCATCAGCAGTGCGCATCCACAACTCCTGCACCTCACAGGATTCGGACCCAGGTACTTCGGTCCCGCGCGTGAACTCCCAACCTGAGAACTAGTGAGCCATTACCTCACGGTGTTAACTTCTACGTTTGGTTAATCTACGGTCTTGCTCAACCTCGTCCATTATCTTCGGCAGTTACTGCTTACACCTGACAGGGTTGAACTCTACTGCCACCGGCTTTTCACTAGAACTCCGATAATTTCCTCATAAAGCTAGTCACTAGCGGGCCTATGATCGATTCGAAATTTCAGTGAAATTCAATAGTCTTCATAACTCTATAGTAAAAAACCAAAAAATTGCGCGCAACGCCGAAGGTCTTAGGTTCGAAACCCACAAATGGGGGTCGTGGATGAGCACTGTTTAAGAGTCTCATACTAAGATGAAACAGCCATCTAGTATTTTTTTTTCAGGTATCTAATAATCGTCTAACAATGATCAATTCATAATTTTAATTATAATGATTGACTTACCTGGAATTTTCAAATTTAATTCACATTGACTACCAACATATGTTGCATCAGCAAGTTCTCTTTGTCGTGTTATGCGTTCCATCATTCTAAGTGATGGTTCACCCCCGATATGCACAACAAATGGACTTCCTGGTACAGGTTGTTCAGCATATTTCACATTAATTATATAGGTGCCAGGTTCTGTAGGACGATAAGTCACCAGACATGTACCATCTTGATTATCATGACATTCAATGTCAGCTTTACTTGGGCCTTCAATGGATAAATTCAATCCACCGTAACCTTGATAATTAAGAATAATATGTATATAGTTTAGCTATTTGAGAAAATATAACTTTAATGGAATTGTAGTGAAAGGGAACACAGGTGGGGCAACCGGATTGTGTTTAGCGAAAATTACAGAGTTACTCAGTAAAATAGGAAAACCATATCGTAAATCGTTCATTTGCAAAATATAAGTTCATCATATCGAACTAGACTGTTCCTGTTGCAAAACATCAATCCATTGTCACTATTCATGAGTTTCATACAAATTCCATTGTGTTCTAACTCTTCCTTTCTTGATCTTCCCCCATCTTCCGCTGCCAGACATTACGTTGACACTCACGTCAAATACTACTTATAAGTAGCTCACACCACAGAATAAGTTGAATTGCACGTCATTATCTAGAAATAAGTATTATTTCTTATTTGTTACTCAAATTGCCTTAGTTTATTTACCAACTCTCTGTATATATCAATGCAATCATTATACAACTTGGTTGTTTTGTTGGAAATTGTATGGGTTAAAATAGTAATTTGACAGGATGCGCAGATTTACTTAAGTTGCCTACATCATTGATAAAATGAAATGTACTTAAAATGAACATTATCTAGACTTGGGGCTACTTTGTCTGGTATGATAGTTAATGGTATTATCCACTTCTGCACACACACACAAGTGGAGAGAGAGTGAGAGAGGAAATTAAGTCAGGTTGATTTAAACCAGTAGCCTAAAATTGTAAAACTCAGAAAGAGATATCTAATTTGATAGTTTCCTCAGTGTATTTTAAGCGACATCCAATTGTAAATGTTCTTGATTACTATTAAGAAAGTACTGCATGAGATCGATTTCTGAACAGTTGAAATGATGATTTATTAGATAAGTTAGTTCACCATCGAGAATATTGATTTAAGAAAAAGCTAAAGTAGTGTGCTAATTAAAAGGACAAACGTTTCCTATCACAGACTATGATATCAACTGGAATAGTATGAAAACCCACAGAACATGGTACACCCTGTATAACATTAGCCAAGCTAATAGTATTTCAACTTTGTTAGGATACTCATCTAATATCCTAAGAGAATTATTTGTAAGTCTAGTTCTATTGGTCGATTCCTTTCGGTCGTCCTAAGTATCAATGTCACATACTTCAAGTGTTGTTTCCTATTCCAACTAACTGTATAAATATGCATTATCTGTAACGTTTTATGACTCGGATCCTTAGTCTGGGATCCTTAGCATCTTCTGGACCCGGACCTCGTACTGTCTGGATGCTAGTAGAATACACGTTCTACTTCATATCAAGTCTTCTTCTTCTATTTAATTGGGGTTCGTGCTACTTTGTATAGTATGATAGTTAACAGTATTATCCATTTACACACACAGAGAGAGAGGAAATTAGGTCAGGTCGATTTACACCAGTAGCCTAAAATTTTAAAATTCAAATATCTTAACCAACAAAAAACAATATATGTTGAAATGAAAGAGAGAATGTATATCTTAGAGGTTAATAATAAGAACAAAAGCTTTTTGATTTAGCTATCTAACTCACAGAGTGTACCACTTCTAGAAACTATATTCTTAGAATGAATATTCCTTGTCAGTCAGTCAGTCAGTCGGTCAGTCAGCTACAACCTAGAACTTCGTATGTACTTCTGGATAATTTATACCTTCTAGAGACTAATTTTTGAAATAAAAGATATCTATTTTGATGGTTTCCTCAGTGTATTTTCGTGAGAGCATTATGTGACATCCAAACTACTCGGAAGTATTTCATGAGATTGATTTCTGAACAGTCGAAATGATAACTAAGATAATCTAGTTCACT